CGGTGGTCCAACTACCTCCCTTCTCATATCAGGGCCATCCTCACAGGCCAAACCGAGAATGACTTGGACACCACAGCCCGCTTCACAGATCATATTACAGAAGCCGCACCCCAGCAGACACTTGCAAGTGTAGCGCCACTCCCCGAGAAGAATGATACTTGGAAATATGTAGAAGATCTTCGACGCCAAGTGGAAACACTGAACGCCAAGCTGGGATGCATTCTTTCCAACTCCAGGAACCACTGCTCGGCCAGCAGATCGCCCTCACGAGAGAAGGTTATACCCACCCTCTGCTGGTACCATCACCGCTACAGGGCCTGGGCACAAAAGTGTACGCAGCCCTGCTCCTACCGCCAGCAGGAAAACTAACACGGCGGACATCAGTGGCAAGTGTGTGCTGGGGTGCGGCTTCTGTAATACGATCCGCGCAATGTGCTGTGGTGTCCAAGTCATTCTTGGTTTGGCCTGTGAGGATGGCCCTTATATGAGAAGGTAGACGGTTGGACCACAGCCCACTGCACGGATCGTATTACAGAAGCCGCACACCAGCACACGCTTGAATGTGGGCAGTTCCCACACAGTCATAGCCTATCTTGAGGTAATATCATGACATTTGCCTGTTGGAAATTAGGAGAAGCACAAGAAACTCAATCATGATAGATGACCTTGGGCATTTAACTTGTACCCAGGATCTCTTGGATATGAAGATGGATTAGGAATTACTCAACTGCAAATTGTGCTCATAATTGTTTGTATCATAAGTAAATCAGCTGAATGGGAACATTAATTTATTTTTTACTGTTCATTGTATTCATGTTGTCATACATCATGGTAACGTGACAAGTAATTAATGGGTTCTGGATTAAATGAATAAATTTATTGGATATTCATCAGGTGCAACTACAGTTAGTTGTAACACATTCTTACTGTAACTATAACACTTCATAACTATATGAACAATTATAACACTCTAAGGGTTATTGTAACTGTATTATATAAAATAAAGACTTCACTTCTGACTTATTCTGATTTCTGTTTGGTTTCTGTCATATTCTGTCTTCTTCTGATCAGTTCTCTCCCTGAAGTCGGTTTTTGTCGAACCGTATGGAGATCACCTCCTTCAACAGGAGAGTTATCGCATTCATCGCTGTTACTGTGATATGGAGGTTCGTTTTCATGGATATTGGCTTTTAATCAGTTAATATTACACTGTGTATATGAAGATCCTAGTAAGCAGAGTTCTGTAGTTGACTGTGTTACCTAGGAAATGTGTTTATCGAGCTCTTGCCTAGCTATACATGTTGCAATATTTTATGCTTGTCTCACTTCCTAGAACCCATACAGTGCTGTATCTTGTATTGCCATAGTTTTGGTATAGGTTATGTTGAGTTATATAATTTAAAGAAACATTTTTAAGATAAATACTAAAGCAGCTGAATACATTTGAATAATACTTTCAAATTCTCTATCAGTCATCCAGTCAGTTCTCATTTTTACTTTGTATTGTTAAAATACTGTATATTATTGGTGTTTTCCGATGTATGACGAATTTCTGTGTGTGGATTTCATCAGGGAAGTTACTGGTGTTGTGTTTTTGAATTTAACTTATCATATGTTCCTAATGGAAAGTCTTAAAATCTCCCTGCCATGTTCATCCAAAACGCCAGTTGACTTTCAACAGACTACATAGCATTATATCCCAGAAGACAGAACTCTTCATCTGCTTCATCAGAGTTTGATATCAGGACAGGAGTCATGTTTCTATAAACAGCTGATATCAAAATTTAGATCTGGAGGAATTGCTGTTGTTTTGCAACTTTTCTGAGAAGTGCTCCATTTTCAATGAAACAATGCACAGGCAACTCGTCCTCCATTAATAACAAGCTGGAATAACAGCATATTGTTTTTGTTATGTCAGAATGTGTAAAATATGAAACTAGCTGTGCAGTGACCGCCCCTGTGGCCTAGTGGTCAGAGTTCCTGGCTGCAGATCCAGAGGTCCCAGCACTACCAGATTTTCTGAGAAGTAGTGGGTCTGGAATGGGGTCCACTCACCCTTGTGAGGATATTGAGGAGCTATTTCAAGGAAATAGTGGCTCCGGTCTAGAAAACTGAGATTAACGGTCATGAGGATTCGTTACGCTGACCACACGACACCCTCTATCCACTAAAGTTAGCACTAACTTTGCCGACAAACGGCAGTTGCTCGGTCGGTATAGTTTGCTTGCGGACTAAAACCACATAGTTTTTCTTTTGTTGTTTTTAGTAGTATTGCATTTGTTTCAAAGCAAATTATGAGCTTTTTATCTGGTAAATTGGAACGTTTCAGTAAGATTTACTGTTTCTCAGATGTTGCTGTCATGAAGTATAAAAACAGGAGGAGTTTCTGAGGACAGAAACCATTCTTCTTACAGCTATATTCATAAAAGGGACAGTGATTATACAATTCAATAATTTAACCAACATGTACAATTCATCAACTAGACATTAATGCCTTATTAAGCTCATTCCTTAAAAATATATGTACAAATATCAATTGAAAGTCTTTTATACAGTATACCATATAAACAGCATCATAAAAAGCTTAGTTCATCTTGTATTTAAAATACTCATCCAACGTGTAGAATGAATGGGAATACAAGAAATTTTTAAAATAATCAGTTCTTGCATAAAATTTATTTTCTCTTCATTTATTAATTAATCTGTTATATTGGAGGAAGTCTACACCACTTCTGACATGCTGTCAATGAAATTTGTTGTCAATAAATTATTAGTGAATTTTTTATTGCTAATAACATCAAAGATTGAATAAATGGTGTCTTTTTTCATACAGGTCAGTGCTGGAGATGGTTTGCCTGCCCAGGTATGTCAGCAGTGTGTTGAACTGGTCAATACTTGTTACAACTTTAAACTGCAGTGTGAGAAGTCAGATATGATGTTAAGATGTCATGTTAGCATTCACTCTCAATGTGAACAGCAGGATGAAGGGCATGTAAAACTTAAGGTACAAATTTCACTAATGGTTTGATGTATTGAATTTAATGTATGAATGTGAAATATAGGCTCTCGCCCTACAGAAAGTACATATTTTGACACTGTATGAAATTTAAATATCAAGAACAGTACTTGAACCTAAAAGACAGGAAGTAATGGGGCTGGAGAAAATTTCAAACTGAAATACTTCATAGTATTTACTCTTCTGTATGTAATAATACAAATGCCGTCGTGAATGCAACAATTTATTTGGTTGTAGATCTTTGTCTTTTCTTCCTCTACACTACATGTTTCGGCCGTAATTGGCCATCATCAGGTGTATTTTTCACTACGTAGCTGTCAAACTGCACACAGTCCAAAATCTAAAACATCAGCCTGTCAGTTTTGTTTTAAAATCTTGCCAACTTCTTGCTTTCAGCACCTTTCACTTATTATTCTGTGCAGGTTCCCTGTGTGTGTGCCGCTGTTATCTTTAATATGTTTGCAAATGTAGCCACTGCAGCACATGTAGACATAGAGCAGGTATCCCTGTGATTTAAATTTTAAATTTAAATCGACGAGTGTATATTAACAGAGATTTTAAACAGAACTGACAAATCAGCAAGGGGATTCTGGTATATCGGGACCGATTGAAACTCAGCAATGACAATTGAGAAAGCTGGTGTTTTTAAACTTTGAATTACATGCAGTGTAACAGCTAAGTAAATGAAATACACCTGATGATGGCCCATTACAGCCGAAACATGTAGTGTGGAAGAAGAAAGACAAAGAACTACAATAAATTGTTGCATTTACGACGGTATTATATTATACATATGGACACTTATGAGAAACTTCCTAGGACTGCACATATGCAAGAGTAGTTGCAAAAGTGTTCCAAGAACAGTCTGAGCATAGAGGATGCTTAATGCAGATATGTGTGTGTGGAGAACAAGATGCAGAACAGGGCGCATCTTCAGTCCAGCTAGGTGCAGCATAGCAAAGATAAGAAATTATTTCATTGCCTTGGTGTTAGTGTTAACATTGAAACAGTAGTGAAGAAAGACAAACTTACCTCAAGATTGAGGGAAGGAATTCAGTTGCTATTTCATTATCCACTGCAATCTGTACTGGTCACATGTGTTGCAAAGTAAATATTCATGATGTATATAGTATGAACATGTTTACATGCAAGAAGCTGTTTTTTAATTTCAGGTTCTGTGAACTTGTTTACATGCTGGAAATTGTACTTTAATTTCAGGTTGTGTGTCTGAAATGCTTATTGACACTTACTTCAAAACCTTGGTTCTCATTTGTTGTAAATATTGAATCATTAACAAACATTGAATTGAAGAAAGCAGTCTTCTGGGATTTGGCACCGTGTATATGTGGTCTTAACCGACGTTTCGGAGGAACGTATCGCCCCCATCTTCAGGGTAGAAGAAAAAGTATAAGAATTCTGCAAGCGACAACACCGTGAGAAACGGTTTCTTATACTTTTTCTTCTACTCTGAAGATGGGGGCGATACGTTCCTCCGAAACGTCGGTTAACACCACATATACACGGTGCCAAATCCCAGAAGACTGCTTTCTTCATAGTCACCGCCGTGAAAGCCTCAAATCTTACATATCTGTACTCATTTTTAGGACCCTCCTAGGGTGGTTGATGGTGACAGTGCTGCTTCATCATTATCAGCTACTAACTCAACACCAGAATTCAAACATAAAGAAGATAAGCCAGAACAAATATACATCAGAAAGTCAAAGGCAGGGTTTAATCTAGCAAGGTGTTCAGAAAAAGGAACAAGATCACTTCATACACACAGTGCTTATGATGTGAATACTGAGAATTCCGACAGTAAAAAAAACAAGTCACTTCAAAAACAAGTTTCTCATTGTTCAGGAGATGTAAAAGGAGCTATAGAGAATGGCCATAAGCTAGTCCAAAGTATACATAAACATCATTATGAAAATTTTAACATTTTCACAAAGATATCTGGAAAGATTTTGAAGGTAAAATCCCATGTTACTGTTCCTGCAAAGTACCGGCCATGTGAAGTGTGTGGTAAATCTGTACAAAAGTTGAATCTACACATGAAGATGCATACAGGTGAGAAACCATACCAGTGTTCCATTTGTGGTCAGAGGTTTATTCAGAAAAGTAGCTTACAGAAACATGACACTCTACATACAGGGGAGCGGCCATATAGTTGTAGTCTGTGTAGTAAAACATTTAGGTGCAAGTCTGATTTAAACCAACACACTAAGTTACACACAGGGCATGCACACAAATGTGCCATATGTGAAAAGGAATTTACAACTCGTCAGAATTTGGACAGTCACATAAGGACCCACACAGGAGAGAAGCCATATCTGTGTCATGCATGTGGTATGCACTTCGCACAGAAAGGGGCATTAACTAAGCATTCCAGGATCCATGCCAATGATCGTCCTCACCAGTGTTCAGTATGTAACAAAAGGTTTATCACTCAAAGTGCTCTTACCCTTCATTTTAGAATCCACACTGGAGAGAAACCTTATACATGCGCAACATGCCAGAAGTCTTTTACTGACAGAGGGTATTTTATGCGACATCTTATGATACACTCTGGTGAAAGGAGCTTTGTGTGTTCAGTCTGTGGGAAAGCGTTCACACAACAGATTAGTTTGAAGAGACATGTAAGACTTCACACTGGAGAGAAGCCTTTCCACTGTTATTGTGGGGAAAGTTTTGCCTTGAAACGTGATCTAAAACGACATAGTGAGCGATTTCATGAAGGAAACAATTTCCAATAAATGTTTTCTTTGTGTCTGGGCACATATGGTATAAAGGAGGCAGGGTAGCTCAAGTTGGTATAGTGACCAGGTTACAGGGTCTGTCTCTCAACAGGGGCAAGAAGGTATGCTTATCTGCATAGTGTCCAGACTGGCTCTGGGTCCCAACCAGCCTCCTATCCACTGGGTACTGGGTGCACTCTCCCACGGGTAAAGTGGCAAGGGCATGAAGCTGACCAATCACATGCAACTAGTGCTGAGGTGAAGAATGGTGGAGGTATACCTCTGCTTCGCCATATGCCTTCATGGCATATTGCTTAAAAGGACAATAGAGTGGAATCACATCATACACATATTTAACTTCCATGAATTGAACCATATGTGCTTGTGCCCCCCCCTCCCCAGATTACAAAATGGAAATTTAAATACCACAGGCAATATCTGACCACCCCCAAAGTAGTGTTGTCAGGGGCAGAAGAAGACTATCGTCAGATTATCCATGATGACTGGTGTATGTTCAGGCTAATTGTTTTCCTTTCTTATTTTCAGTCTTTTGTCTGTTGCTATATTTTGTATGAAATTAAAATGATACATTTCCCTTATATATTGTCACATGTAGGGTGGTACGTGCAACAGAAATGCCGGGTTAAAATTTGGATGATTGGATTTATTAGCAGCTTGGACACGCCCTCTTTTAATCACACTCAAATTACAGCACTATCGCTGATTTACACACACTTCATAATTCGCTGTTGCATGCATACTATGATTCCCAGTCTTCACAGGTCTCAACACAGAGACTCTAGCAGTCTCACTGGATCAGACACTCCAGTATTACATATAAACACAGTCTTCAAATCACACTTCAGNACTCAAATTACAGCACTATCGCTGATTTACACACACTTCATAATTCACTGTTGCATGCATACTATGATTCCCAGTCTTCACAGGTCTTCTACGAACTTCCCGTGGCTGTCTCCTATCAAGAACTCTGTCACTTAAACAATCTGAAATACTCTGAAACACTGAAACCTGTTCAAAGTCACATTGTGACTTACGGTCAGTCAGTCAGTAAGTCTTGGTGTCGAGACCCATCTAGGGCTCATGGCCAGATATTTATTACTGTTTGACAGTTACAGTGTTGTTTTTGTGGGGCGCCCTCTCTGACGAGAGAATGGGTCTGTCTTTTGCATATACTGCTGGCCCTTGCCAGCGCACTCTTTCTCGGGTCAGAGTCCCATGGGACTCGTGACCATATTTTACTGTCTCAGATTTGCCACAATCGCCACACCCACAGACCTCTGTGGCTCAACAGCTCTTGCATGGCATAAATACGCCACAGTACTCTGTACATACATATTACAGGGGGTATATGAAAGCATGTAGTTTATGTGTGATTGAAAGGATTTTCAAGAGTAATTCAGACTATACATGACTTTGGAACTTCACAGAATGTAACTCCTGCATAGGGTGAGATTCTACTGTGTGTGTGTGTGTGTACGCACATGCGCGCACACATGTGTAATAAAATACTGCTGTCTGAGAATGTGAAAATAAAATTTAATGCCTTGTTGCTTATCAGAATTATATATACACTTTTAGAACAATTTGAAAATAAAGTTCACTGTGTTTGTGATGTAAATTTTTCTTAAAAATTTTGCATTTTTTATCTCTTTTCTGTTGCATGTTGTGACAGTTGTTTCTGATTTCTCTGGTTGACTTGTTGGAAACTGAGTTTTGCTTTTGTTGAAATTCTTATATCTGAAATATTGTACAGCTTGTCTCAAGTGATAGTGCTTGAACTTATATTCAGGACTTGACTTGTCAATGCAGAAGGCAGAGAATTCTTTCAGCTTTATTTCTCTGTGTTCCAGGAACATTTTATCACACTGTATGCAGTTTTAAAGAGGATTTGATCCTCTTACTCTTGATGTACAAAATATATGGATACCTTTTTAATAGAGTATACTTTGTTTCTATTTGCCTTGTGTTTGTAAGAAACCCCACGTGACAGCACTCCTAACAGATCAGTTTAGACAGGGCTTCTGTCTGTATAAGTATTTCAGATACAATACAGAGCTGAAAGCTTCATATTAAGCTTTAACATCCAAAGTGCACTGATGAGTATGGTCATCGTAGCCAAAGTACACCAATTTTGGCATTTAAACGCCCCTAGTAGAAGCATATGCACGATCCAAAATGTTTATTTTTAAATATAGTAAAATTGAATATATGAGGGTAAGTCAATAAGTAAGTTACAAATGGATATAGAACTTAAATAAGAATACTGATTTGAAAAATGCATTTATTTCTCAACATAATCTCCCTGTACATTGATGCATCATTAGGTAAGCCATTGAGATTGAACTCCATCCCAACAATATGAAGAGAGAAGGGGGGTTTTGTCTCGGCAAGCCATGGAAGCCTCTCATCTGTTCCCTAAAAAACTCCCCGGGACATGACGCCAGATCCACGAAGTCACAGTCCATGACCGACTCTCGTAGCAACCCCCCAGATTAAGGGCTAATGCTGCCCCATTAACCTTGCATTTCTCCCCCAACACAATATCCTATACATGCACTAACCTTGCTGTGTCTCCCCAGACCCTTCCCCTCTCCATCTCCACTGATTTCCCATGTAGACCTGTCCCTTTCCTGCTCTCATATAGCTGAGTTTATTTCTGACATTAGTCTGCTTGCACCTCTTCTCACTGTTTCTTCACTTGCGGATTTTCTTATTTTTCCTTCTGCCCTGAAGATGGAGGCGACATGTTCCTCCGAAACGTTGGTTAACACGACATCTACACAACGCCACGTCCCAGAAGACTGCTTTCTTCATTGATTAAAATATGTTTAAACGAAACTTATAGAAAAGTCTGTATAGGTAAACATTTGTCTGATAAATTTCTTATCCAGAATGATCTAAAACAAGAAGATGCTTTATCGCCACTCCTTTTCAACTTTTCTTTAGAATGTGCCATTAGGAAGGTCCAGGAAAAGCAGGTGGGACTGAAATTAAATGGGACACATCAGCTGTTGGCCAATGCCGATGATGTGAATCTACTGGGTGATAATATAGATACCATAAAGAAAAACACACAAACTGTAGTTGGCGCAAGTAAAGAGGTTGGTCTAGAAGTAAATACTGACAAAACTAAGTATATGTTGCTGTCTCATCACCAGAATGCAAGGAAAAATCATGACATAAAGATAGGAAACAGATGTTTTGAAAAGGTGGCACAGTTCAGATATTTGGGAACAATGATAACAGATCAAAACCTGATTCAGGAGAAAATTAAGAGAAGATTGAACTCGGGGTAATGTTTGCTACCACTCAGTTCAGAACCTTTTGCCTGTAGTTCTGTATGGGTGTGAAACTTGGTCTCTGACATTAAGAGAGGAAAATAGGCTGAGGGTGTTGATGAGAATATTTGGACTGAAGAGAGATAAAGTGACAGGATATTGGAGAAAACTGTATAATGAGGAGCTTCATAACTTATACTTTTCTCCATGTATAATTAGAATGAACAAGTCAAGGAGGATCAGGTGGGCAGGGCATGTAGCGTGAATGGGGGAGAAATGCATATAGGATATTGGTGGGAAACCCAGAAGGAAAGAGACCACTGGGAAGACCAAGCCATAGTTGGGTGGACAGTATTACAATGGATCTTAGATAGGATGTGATGGTATGAATTGGATTGATCTGGCTCAGGATAGGGACCAGTGGAGGGCTCTTGTGAACACAGTAATGAACCTTCAGGTTCCATAAAATGCTGGAATATTCTTGAGTAGCTGCAGAATTGGCAGATCCTCGAGAAGGGCTCAGATCCATGAGTAAGTAAGTATGTACATCACTTATGATGATATTCCATTATCCATACTTCTGGGTAATGTGTTCACATATGATCATTTTTGTAAATGTGTGGCAAAGTTTATAATTTGTTAAGACTGCTTTTGACTGAACAGCTCAGTTAAGTAAGACGGTTACTTTTCTAATAGTTTGATTGGTATGAGGTGGTTGATTCATCAAGAGATTATATTGTGAACATTATTAATTTCTGATTATTAAAGTTCAATTAGTGAATAAGTTTGTTTAGCTAGTTCTGCTTGGCATGAGTTAACTGGTGAAGTCCAATGGTTGTACTCTTGAGCTTGAATGCATATTACGGACTTATATTAGGTGTTCACTCTCATTTGTCGAAAGGTTTGTTGTAATAGCTGTAGTTTAATTTTAGATATACAGTCTACTCTTTCTTGCTTTGAGGGCCTGACAGTGTTGATTTTTATGTCGTTTTTAGACATTGGCACTGTGTGGAAGTGCAGTATGTTACTGATCTTATGAGGAAAATTCTATCTCCATTTCACTATTGAACAGGGCAGAGTAAAGATGTAATGGGGTTATATAGGAATTTGGGTTTTGATGACCATTTGCTATTACTATTAGTTCCTGGGGTCCTATAGTATCACTTTCAATCACTACTTCATGGATAGATGGCGCACTTTGCACTCCAGTTGCTTTGTGTTTGTGTGTCGATCTGTGATTCTGTTCCGTGGTTCATACACTCGTGATTGGATTTATACGCCATTTTCTTGTCTGCAGGGGAAAGGTGGATAGGAAATATTTCGTCTGAGGAAGGTAATTTTGAGTGTGATCGATATTTATTATGAAGCTGAAGTATATATTAAGGATCACGGTTTACAATTTTAATCACTAGGCGTTTGTGATTATTTTGTTTGGTGTAGGTGTAAAATTTTTGGTGTTCGCCTTGCATGACAAACAAGAACGGAGCATTGTATACTACTATATATTGCGCGAACGAATTGGACAGCACTTACCCGTGATTATTAGGTATATGTATTACACTGCATACGTTCTTGTGTAAAATATTGCATGGCCATAACTTGTTATATGGCCTGAGAAAGATAACGAACTTTCAAGTGAGACGTTATAGTATGGTTTTAGTTTGTGTGAAGCATGTATATATTTTTGTCAAACCATGCAGTATGCATTTATAAAATAAATTCCATTGAACCGTTCGGGCAGAGCCAAAAGATGTTTAGTTTTCACTGTGTGTATACGAATTATGTATATCTTAAACCTCAAGATTATGTTGACTGTAAATACCACCAACTTTGACGCAAAGAAAGAGCATTCAGCCCAGGGACTATTTATGAGTTTCATACGATTGTCAGAATAAACGTGGATTATTTCTACAATTGTCATTAACCAGTTCAAGTTCATAGTGAAGATATAGCATGTTTCCCGTGAGGTATAAACTGAAGTTTTTTAATATTATTTAGGCCAGATACAGTGATTCATAGGATTAGCATTTTGACCTAGAAGAACTGCTAGCATCGCCGTATATGCATAGATATGTGTTCGTTTCAGTTTCAGCATGCAAAATCCATCTTGTTTATTTTGTTATCCATCCATCAACATTTATGTGTTGGAGCTTATCATGAAGGTTCTAATTCTGTTTTCCAGTAGTAACGATCCTTGGGAAATTTCTTTGAAGTTTACACAGTTTTGAAGATTTGTAACTGTTCTGTGGGTTATGACATTGTGTAGTTCTGTAGGTAGCTACCAACATTTGAGAGACACACTGACTTAATCTTTAAGGTACAAGTGGGCCAACTTGGAAGAAGATTATTATACAAAAGAATAGGAAAAATGGATCAGGTAGGATAAAAGTGACCAGTCAGAACTGTGAATGGGGAAAAGGAGAAGAGTCCCCAGACGAGCCAGTGGAAATCGTTGGCCCTGAAAATGGCAACTGTGCTACTGTAGAGTGCAGAAAGACTAGAAAGAATTGCCCTTTTGCAGGGATTGGAAGCAGTGGTTGACAGTGCATCATTCTTGGAGTCATTTATCCCGAAACTTAGCTCTGTGTGCTATGCAACCCGAGTCATAAAACCATTTGTGAATCAGGAAACTTTGCTGATGGTTTATTATGCCTATTTTCACTCTATTATTCGATATTGCATTATTTTGTGGGGTAACTCTTTGTACGCCATCAATGTCTTTCGTTTGCAAAAGAGGGCGATGAGACTAATAACTGGTGCTGGTAATAGAAATGTAAAATGATATTCACTACTCTAAAAATTCTTACTCTTCCATCTTTGTATATTTATTCTCTACTGTCTTTTGTGGTCGATAGCATGGATCAACATTATTTTGTATCTGATATACATAATAGAGACACTAGACAGGTACTCAACATAAATCTATATCAACCCTCAGTTCGTTTATCGTTATATCAAAAAGGCTCATATTATATGGGCATCAAACTATTCAATTGTCTCCCACTGAATTTGAAGCAATTATATAAGGATATTAAACGGTTTAAATTAATTGAATTGAATTTATTTGCATTCCATAGATCCTAAGTAGGTTAATACCTCTGGATATAGAACAAGTCAAAATAATACCTGCTGGTACAAGTAATTTTATCTTAAACTAATATAGCTTAATTCTACATTATTCTCTATTTACATTGAGGTATTCGTCTACAGAGTAAAAGGAATGAGCATGCAGATATATCTTTAGCTCTGATTTAAAATGTTTAGTATCATTAATCAAGTTTTTGATACTTTGTGGGAGACTATTGTACACTTTTATGCCAGAAAAGTAGACTTCTTTTTGATATAGTGATAAGCTTGATGAAGGTAGAAGGAAGTTATATTTTTGTCTAGTATTCATGTTATGGATATTGGAATTTAATTCAAATTAATTTCTGTTGCACACAACAAATAAGAGAAGCGATAGTATATATTGTGATTGAAGAGGTAGAATTTTTAATTTCTTAAATAAATCTCTACATGAATCTCTACTTCTATGTCCTGTAATGATTCTAATTATATTCTTTTATATCATAAAAATTTTTACACTATGTGAAGAGTTCCCCCAGGCATGGTCGCCCATTTTATACTCTGGATGAATTTTTTGTATATACCAGTCGGTAAGATTAATTGTATTCTGGTTCTGTTCTTATGCCTTGACTTAGTTCTTTGTACTGCATATTTATCTAATATGACTTTACCACATCCTAAAGTATTGGATTTTATGGAAATAATGGATGAGTAATGAAAATGAAAAAAGAGCTTATACTGATGCGCAAAACCTTTGAGAGTTCTTTGTCTTGGTTCTGTGTTGTTTCTGTAAACTTGGGGATCTGGATCTGTTTTTGAATTTGAAATAAATTGAAGTGAATAAGAAAGAATCCTTTTCAGGGATAGGCACAGGAAGTGGATCCAAGATATGTCCTTCAAAATAGCCTTGTTGTGTTCCTTCCGAGTTTGAATGAGAGGGTTCTGTGATCAGGCCAAGGAGGAACCATTTTCTTTGTTCATGTTGATGTAGAGCTAAGTCTGTAGTTAGAAATGCAGGACATTTTGCGTTTTTTTATATAGTGGTATTACTGAAGGCAAAATTCCTGCAGTTGTTGAATGAAGTGATCAAGATGAAATTTCATCATAACCACATGATTTTTTTTTTGATTTTTTTTATTTAAGGGACTATGGTATAGTTTTAATGTCCTTCGATGTAGTAGGCTTAAGGTTTACATTCAGAAGAGAAGGTGGGTTCTTCCTGTAGTCAAGTATTTATTCCATTTTAAGTTGCCGAGGTTGTAGTATCACTGCTGTCCATTCATTCTACAGTTCTTAAAAAGTATGCATAAAAAAAAATAGCTGTATGTGTAAAAGGTAATGTGAGGTAAAGCTATCCCTGTAAAAGGCCATGGAGGCCCATGAGGTTGTGAGACTACGAGGCTCCCCCATTTTCTATATAATTGGATCAAAGATGCCAGTGAGGTTGTCGCCTTACATGCTGGCTGCTTTTTACCCTTAGAAAGATTCCAGGTACTCATATTTGTTATAGGCTGAGTAGACCCCAGGCCTGTAAGGATTAGGCAAATTGAAAAATCTAATGACCTCATTGGGAATCAAACCTGTGACCTTCAAGCTTGTAACATAGTGCCTCAACCCACCTCAGTACTGTGTGCCCCAGGTGTGTGTGTACGATCCTTTATTATATTATCATTTATCTTTACTGGTGTTTTTTTAATATCTGTGGTTTGTTCACCAGTTTCCCTTCTTACAGTTGAGGTTTTGGGATTGGTTTATCGCTCATGTGCATGACGAACTTATTGATCCTAAGCTGAGGCTAATTTTAATCTCTCAGGATATGTTAACTTACAAAAGAAGTAATGGAGTAGTAAAAATCCCCATGCTCAAATTCAGCTTCTCTCTGACCAAAAGATAGGCATATGGTGTGCCATAAGTGCGAACCTATCAGTGGACTGATATTTTATGAAGGAACTCTTGATGCTGAATGACACATTAATGAAATACTCAGTCCATTTTTTTTTTCAATTTGGCACCTGCAGAAGAAATATTCGGTTGTTTTATGCAGGACAGTGTGTTCAGGGCACTAAATGGGAAAGTAGAATTATTAGCAAGGGTATGTGTCCTCCTTTATCCCTAGATCTACACCCCTATGATTTTCATTTGTGGGGAAAACTCAGAAGTGTTGTGCATGCCAACAATCCACATGACCTGAAGGCTATAAAAGAGAATATTTGTGAAACAGTTTACAGCATTCAGCAATGTGAATTGCGGCAAGTTTTCCAAAATATATTTAAAAGAATTTAGGCATGTCTCACAGCAGAGGGAAGACATTTTGAACATCTATGATGGTGAGTACAGTATTAATTACTATATTTGATTAATTATTAATGAAAATAAACAGTGTGCGGTAGTAATTCGGCCATGTGGCAGCATTTTTCTTGGTAAGTGGCACAGTGCTTTCGCAGAAAGTTGGCAACAATGAAATCAGTGTTCAGTCAGCCTGTGCTCTGGGCATCCTGATTAAATTGGATTTATTATCTGATTGTGGACTAAAACCATGCAGTTATCTGTTATCTTATATCCAGCCTGCCTTTCATGGACTCTTGTTATCTTTTACTTTAGTCATATTTTATTTCATTTAGTTGTTGTTAAGGATGTAAACCACCAACATCCATAGGATACCATGTCCCAGTTAAAACTGAAAATCATTTTCAAATCCTTGAGAAAACAGCTTAGCAAGATGCTGAAGAAAATAAGGTCCAACATACAGCAATCTCTTATTGAACATGAATTTGGTAGTACAGTTTTTATTCTATACAGATTATAATATATTTAGATGTGTGTTTTATGCAGTGCAGGATGAATTTTAATTTATCTGCGGCTTATTGTGTGCTTGTGCAGATGTAATGCTCAGATCATGGCATGCCCATGCTGCTGCCAAGTTTCAGAATGATATCACGACTCCTGCTGTGAGAACATCTGTCTTGAATACTATTACCATCCTCTTCACAGACTCCGAATAAGTTTTTAAATAAAATATTGTGTTGGTTTCTTCCGTAAGAACTATTAGGTGAAATCAAGCAACCATTAGGGCAAGTGTTATGGTAAGCATGCCAGAGAATTCATTGGCCATTTATAAAAGCTGTAATCAGTGTGTAGACAAGGTTGAGAACACACTTTCTTTAGGGGTAGTGGATAATGGCACAAAGGAAAGTTGCACAGAGTAGCAACATGATAGATGAGAATCTTCAGGGATACAGTGCCTTGTATTCTGTTGAAAATCAGCTGAAGTTGTGAAGAAACATTTTACCTCCTTCTTCAGGGTCGAAGAATACGCTGAGCAAGAATCCAGCATGAAAGCAGGTGGCACTGCTTGCCAACCCTTCAATCATACTCTTGCTTTATACATTAGTTAAAGTTTTTCAAGCATTAAAGTAGTTTGTTACCCATTGCCTGCTAATGCATTTAATCTTACCTCCCAAAAGTTCAGACTGAAAGATGGACATCTAAGGAATTTATTTGTGCTGACCCTGCACAACAGTTTTCTTCTACAGACATTACCCAGTTGAAAGACATGTCTAAACTTCATTTCAAACTCACCAGAGGGAAACAAAGCTTGATCTCAATTCTGATTCTCTTAGCTTTGAGTATAATGTTTAAACAAGGGAGTAGACAGTTTTGAATGTACTGAGTTCCTTTGTGAAAAACCCCTGTTTTTCATGCCACTGTTGATATTCCTGCTTTCCTGGCCTGCCCTCTTCTGATTCCAAAATGGCTTCTGGATGCCACCTCTTATATGAGGGCTGCTGTCCCCAAACATTTTGAACCTCTCAGACTTGGAAGTGGTCAGGATTGTGTCTGTCATCCTCTGAAATCCTATACTGGTTAGGTGGATTTGGCTTCTCTCAGTATGAATTAGGTCATGCTTCTGCATACCATCTGGAGGAGGTTACATCCATGGTCCACGTTCTGCCAAAGATAGGCTGACGACTCTTGATTGCAGCCAAGAAATCTTTGGCAAGCATATGGAGTGTCAAAAATTTAGCAGTATCAGCATATGTTATGAAGTAATTGGACATGGAAATTTCCCATCTTGTGAGATTGATCTTCGTGAAAGAACGTGTAGCTTATATCAGATTCATCATTGCAAAAATGGCATATGGGCAGGCATTTAAGCATTTGGCCATACATTATATTTCTGTGTATCCCATAAACTGTTTCGTAGATTTTTTAATTAGGTATGGGAGACTTACACCAAATGTAGGTGAGCATTTCCAACTTGCAGCCATATTGATTCAGAATGAAACATAGTTTGCAGAAAGCCTTTATGGATTTTTCCATTTATCCAACAAACTCGGTACGAGACATTTACGTTGATTTGGATTTCATTATTCTATTGTTCTGTATGCACCTTTAGGGAAATAAAACAAAATTAGAATTTTTTTGTACAAATTCAGTGTTTAAATTGTTGTTATAGTTTAATAAATTATGTTTATTGTCACCAAGTTTTAAAATTATTAGTAATAGAACTGTTTACATTTCTGTCATCATTTTATTTTATTCTATTGTTTGGCTTATTTGTGTTTTATATATGTACCACTTGACGTGTTCCATATCCTACCTGTTGTACTGTGGACCTATGGAATGTAAAATAAATGAATGAATGTTATGAAGTACTCCTGCTTCAGGCTGAATAGCATTTACAATACCATTGACACAATGCTGTAAATATAGGAAAGGCATGCATTACTAACTCCATGGAGTGAAGTCCTTGAGAAGCCACCAGTTCATTCATCATTCATTATTAGAGGGGGTGGGTTTCCCCATGCACTTAGACCAGTTAATGGTCCATTGTGCATCCCCCTTTAATTTCTACTGTCGCCATATCCTTCCAGTACTGGTGCTTGCTATCAGCCCCATTCTGCCAGCAAGGTCGGCCCTCTTCTGGCAGTGGTACCTGATACTTAGCCTCATTCTGCCAGCGAGGTCGGCCCTCTTCTGTCAGTGGTACCCGATACTTCCCCATCTACCGGAGGCATTGGAAACTACTTGGGCGGGAAACTTTTTGCCTAATTTTGCTCAGAGGTCTCCTAGAAACATGAGGATCTTTTACGTGCTGTAAATCTACAACATGGGACCCACGGCTTAAAGCCCCTCCTGGAGGACTTGTTCCCTGAATTTTTCCGCCCTTAAAAATTCCATGACCTCCGCCGGATTTGAACCCGTGTACCTTGAGTCATGAGGTGGGAACGTTACCCCTAGACTACAGAGGCTGCTTAAGCCACCAGTTGCTCAGCTACTTATAAATTTCGTAACATTTTATGGAAGCTGAAGGTTCATTACAGTGTTCACAAGAGATGACCACTGGCCCCTATCTTGAGCCAGATTAATCCTTGCCATACCACCCCACACTGTTTCTCCAAGATCCATTTTAATATCTTTGCACCTAAATCTAGGATTTTCTAGTGTAGGAAAGGCATGCATAATGCAAGCATTCTGGTGCATTCACTCCATTTTAAAATCCTTAAGACTTGACAGCAAATGTGTGTTTGAAATAAAGTGTGTACACCATTCTTCTGTACTAAATTTATCTGAAAGACTTTTTGTTCTAATGAATGTTCAGAATGTTATGCTTGAGGTGTGCACAAAATATATATTGGCATTTATCTAAAGCACCTATTATTCAATTTTTAGTAAAATTGGAAGATGGAGACAAATTTTGATAAAACTCAGTAACCTGAAATTTCATAAAAATCTGCTCAGCAGTTACTGAGTTGTTTGAAGAGGCGTGGAAAGGTGGACATGACAGATAGTAGGCACATATTCGTAACTTTCCATTATGAACACGTGAACATAGAATATGCCACCATGTGTAATAACATCAGTGCCATTATTGTATTATTCATACAGAGGTATTAAAACTGTGAGGCCGAGGCTGAATTTTATGATAGGGCTGATACTGTAGGCAGTCATTTTTTTAAATGCCTATACTCAGTTTTATGAAGCAACAAGAGGCTGGGTCCGTGGAGAGAACTGAATATTTCAGGGTTTCTGCAACTGATGTCAAGATGACTCACATAGACTTTGGGTTGCTATAATGCAGAACTTGAATGAAAAAACTGGAAGATTTGCTTGTCCTCATTGGCCCCTTTTCTGGGGGAAATGCATTGCTAGCCTGAGGTAAACTTTAGCGTTCCTGTATGACTTTTATTCTCCAGATTGTATTTCTTCATCCCAAGGCTCAGTAAGGAGAGGACAAACGTAGTGAAAGAAATGTGATTCAAATTTTGTGTTGCAGATTATTTTGAAGCACACCATACCAGATCTAAACTTTGATGTTTCTTTGGGCATTGTGAGTCTTCAAACATATAACAGAAAAGTGTGAGAGTAATGAGAATTTTCTGATTTTCTGTTGCAGATTAAACCTCTTCCATTTGTATCTGATAGTGAAACGTAAGAGAAGATGACATCCCGCAAGAAGGTACTTTTGAAAGTAATCATCCTGGGTGATTCAGGAGTTGGTAAAACATCACTAATGAACCAGTATGTCAACAAGAAATTTTCAAATCAGTACAAAGCGACAATTGGTGCTGACTTCCTTACAAAAGAGGTGATGGTAGACGACCGAATAGTTACCATGCAGGTCAGTGCTAAAGGGAGAAGGTACCATTTAGAATCATTAGTAAAAGCACTCATGTGTTAGTGACTAGACACAGGGTTTGGATTGATTATTGAATTTATTGAGTGCTTATTGTCCATGGCCACAAATAGTTACAGCACTTTAACTTTTTTGAACACACTACATATAACTGCAGCGCACACCAAGTGTTCTCTGTCTGAAGTGTCTTCACATACTTATTATTTTTAGGTAATAGAAGGAAATGGTAAGTGAATGGTGGAAAAACAAATGTAGCTATAAGAAGTTTGGAAGCTAGATGCCTGTCACTCTTCATATTCACATGTGGACTTCTCACAACTTGAGCTCTCTTTGTTTTGAAAGAGCCGAAGCTTCTGTCAGGGTTTAGTGTAAATGTAATGGAACAGTGTTATCAATGAAAGTAAGAGTCAGCCATGGCGGTTATGAGTGCGGGGTGGGCCATAAAACTGGCATATTGTCATGTGTTATTGAGCCATGGTGGGTAACTTATTCGTTTTTGCTAAGGGAATATGATACTGTTCACAAGAAGAAACAATAAGTTTATGTGTATTACATATTCAGTGAAGACGAGCATTTTTTTTTCCGCTTTTGTATATGATAATACAGGGCGATTCATATAGAACCGGCACGACGAAATGAGGTGTAATATAAAATATACCATACAGATATTAAAGTAATTTACACATATCTTATCTTGGATTGTGTGCCGTGATCAGAGCAGGTGTTGAAAGTGTCCGCCGTTTTCAAGTAGGCATTAGAAACACTCGCTGTTCAACCGTGTACTCCATGACTGTCGCCTGCCCACTGCAGACACGTTTCGGCATTGTCGACCTTGCAGCATAAGGGCTGCCACTTGCCGGATCATACGCATACCATTCAACTCAGCACGGCCCACTGATTATTATGTCGTAATTGTGAGCGGTTATATGTATCACCTGCAGAATTATTAGCAAATTCATCGGGCCAGTTCTATACGATTCACTCTGTATTTGTTAACCATAGTGTTGTGTTATGATTTTTACTACCACAGTCAATAAGTTCGTGGAATGGCCGCAAAGCATCGTACGGGAATTCGCTGCTAATATGTTTCAGCAATGTTTTTGACAGCTATATCAACGTTGGCAAACTTGCATAGTGGCCAACAGCAACTATTTTGAGGGCCGATGTGGATCTGTGTAAGTGTAGGTGAATACCATGTAATATGATGCAATAAAACCACATTCCATGAACTTAATGACTCTACCACATATTGGTGAGTAAAAGTTTATTCCCCTGTATATATTGTAATTTTTTAAATTAAGTCATAAGTGGTAAATACATTCCTGTGTTTTTCATGTAAATATAAAATGGAAGATAAAAAAATTTGTACAGGTTTCAGCATGTTGACTGTCATTATAGTGATTTGCAGTAACAGCCTATTACATACATGGTATTCAGAAATGTGAAAAGTTTTTGTACTGTGTAATTAACCGCAATGTAATAGCAGTTTTATTGGTCCGTGATGGTTGGTTTTGTTTCTCATTGTCTGTTGACTTTCATGTGGTTAATGGTTATAAATGTGTGCATTTATTTTTGCGTTACAGATTTGGGATACTGCAGGACAAGAACGATTTCAGTCACTGGGGGTAGCATTTTACAGAGGTGCCGACTGCTGTGTACTGGTGTTTGATGTATCTGCTCCAAACACATTCAAATCTCTAGACAGCTGGCAAGATGAGTTCCTAATTCAGGCATCTCCTAGGGATCCAGAAAATTTTCCATTTGTTGTTCTTGGAAATAAAGTGGATCTTGAGAACAGAGCAGTAAGTATGTCCTCAGCCATTGCGTTATAATTTGAAAAGTACATTTTTTATTAAGGGTTTGTTGGTGTCATGCTGTCATTTAACTCTATGATATACTGGATATGTAGAATCTAACCGTGGTAGACTGAGTGGGGAATATAACAAGATCTTCATTCTTGCAGTCACAGATGACAAATGATAGCAAATTGGAATAAACCTTTTTCTTCCTTAGATGATTTTTCTTTTATATGGGTCCTAATTGTGATACATTCAATTCAATTCAATAGTAATCTGTCAGACGACAGGTCCACAGTCTCTCCCAAAACAGTTCCTCCACTTAATGCGATCTTCTGTTTTTGGAAAGAGACTATCCAGGAAAAGTGATAATGTGGTAGTTTTTCCATTTGCTTTCCACATCGCAGTACAGCAGCCGTTCAAACCACTCTGGTCACGCCTGTTGCTATACGAACTTGAACCATCTCGAGCATCATTTGCTCTGTGCTTCAAGTCGCTGCTGATGACGCTGCTTCCGGCATCAGTTTTTGGTGTCTCTCTTCGTCTGATGCCTACCCTTTGACCTGTCCAGCAAGGGAGGCCCTGCCAGTAGCTACGCTACCGCTGGTATAGCTCTCAGGGTCCTTGGCATACTCAAACCCCCTCACCACGATAAGGTGGAGACACCAACGAGGGGGATTATGATATATATCACATTTAAATTCCATTTGAATATGGTAAGAATGTGTTGTAAGAATATAACACTGTGTTCACACTAGCTAATATTTTTTTTTAGTAATGTAGATGGTTTCATCAGGTTTTGAACTCTGAACATAGATAGTCGAAAGTTTTATGTTGATTGTGGTAGGTGTCAGCAAAGCGGGCCCAGCAGTGGTGTCAGAGTAAGAATAACATCCCATACTTTGAGACATCAGCCAAAGAAGCCATCAATGTAGAACAGGCATTCCAGACAATTGCTAAGAATGCACTAGCCCAAGAGAGTGAAGTTGAGTTGTACAACGAATTCCCAGACCAGATCAAACTGACTGGAGAACAGAAAGGTAACCGACAAGATGCCTGTTCGTGCTAATCTGGTGAGTGTTACTTGTGTTTATAGTCACATTCTACACAAATTTTCACCATTTCCCTTCTGAATGCACTGAAACTTCCATTTAAGTTTTCTTTATGAAGCAATGGATGTAAACATTAAACTGAAGAAAATCTTAAAAAAGGGAAATTTTATGTTGTAAATAGTGACAAGGGATCATGTAAATTTATGTTAAGTGAAGGAAAATCTTGAATGTCAAATGGGGATTCCACTGTATCTTGTCATTTTTGTAAATGAAATTGTATTGCATCATATTTTTAGCATAACCAGAGCTGTTAGAAACTCTTCTGTATTTCTTTCCCTAGCCAAAAATTTCTGATGTGTCAAATTTCAGCATTTCTTTGAATTATGTTGCAGTTGGTAGATAATATATTCATGTAGGAGTTACATTTCAGTCGTCATGCAGTGCAGATGCAAGTGTAGCAGCTCCAGAATGGGGGTGTACAGAGCAGGAATTGGACTCTTTAAGGGAACAAACTTGTGAAGTGCAGTTGGAAAAAACAGTGAGAGAAAACAGCAGTTTGACGGGTGTTTGGTTCCTCAAGTTTATGATTGGAATAATGAGTATTGGAGTTGTTGTAACTAATCCCATACCACAGATTGAAAAGAATGAAACATTGATAGGGCACGTTAAAACAGTGAGAAGGTAAAAAGATATGAGAGTTGTTGGAAAATAACAAAACTACATAATTCAGAAGTTTTCTAAAACACTATCAAAGAATTTGACACCAAAGCAAACCAAATGAGTCAGACAAACAAAAAATGAAGGAAGAACAATGGTTTAGAAGTTTGTAAGCAAACAAAGAAAATTGAGATTTCACTGTATTCTCATAATTTGAAATGTACATATGGCATTTGATTCAACTCCCCACCTCAGAAATTCTCTTTAGTGTGATATATGTTGAAGCAGGAATCAACACACATTGCTGCCTGATCTTTTTTACAATGCCAGATTCTATACAAGCAGATAACATGTGGGACTTTGTCTACTTGTCAGTAGGTGGGATTTTCATGGAGAAATGCCCTTCAAAAAAGATGTTTGAATAGAGGATTGATTAAAGGTTTGCCCACTGACAGAGATGGTAAAGTCTATTTGTTGATGACTGCCATATCAGTACTGTAGACTGAATGATGAACATTTTGGTTTTGTGTCCTGTAGATCACATAGAAATTGCGAACTGTTATATTGAGGATTCTCTTAAAGAATTTGTGGTACTGCTTCATTCCCCTCTTCGCTTACAGAGGTGCAGTTTTTGGTCTTCCAAGCCAGTTCAACCAATTAGATTCTTAAGTTTCTTAATATCCACATCCCAAGTTTTCTTTGAAGGAAGTTCCTTGTCATGGAAACTGGATATAACTGAGACATTCATCTTTCTATTTAAGAACCAAAGTATCTTCATAGTATGCTGATGTTACACATACTGGTATTTTTTTCTGCCAGATCTGAGTTTTCAACATTTTTCCTCTGTTTCTCTAGAAGTGATATCAAATATAGAGAGTTATAATAATTGCCCATATATAAAGGTAACCCATGTTCAGGAAGCGCTGTACAAGTTTCATGACAGTTTTTTACCTTTTCACTTGTCTTCAACAGAGACTGTTGTTTTGACATACTTTGAGCTCTGTTGTGCAGAGTAAAATTCTACAGGTATCCTGTTTTAGATACATATATACATAATTCATAAATGTTTATGTCTAATTCAACCTACCTTTTCACAAACTTGGGGATTCACCAGTACGTACTCTTTTTAGGAACCTTGGGAACTTTGTAATAATATTTGCAACTACAGAGCTGACTTTGGACAATTTTGCATCCCTTATGAACTGAATTATTGCCCACATAGTGCAAAAATGTTATGAGTTCAAAACTGGCTGGGACATAGTTTATAGGAAAACAGAGGTTCCTATGAAAGAATTCCTGTCAGAATATGTTTTTATAAGTGTTTCTGAGTTTCTTCCATCAGCACTGTTTTCACGGAATGGAATATATTTATTGTCGCACCTTTCGGATTCATTCATGACCTGGCCTTGATCACTTCGCAGCTTTAAACATAAGCTTTGCATATCTGTTGGTCTCTTTTACAGTAAGGTCCACCAGTTCAAACATAACACAAAACCATCTTGTTGGATACTGTTTACAATGTAAATAGGCCTGTGGTTACCAGTAAAAGGACGTTTTATGGGTATATAGAATAAACCAATTTCCAAAACCATGTAGGTTGGATAAGCATATCACACATTCATTCTCATCATTCATAATTACTGAGTGCAACCAGCTTACTTTTGTGCATAATCCTTATCACCAATACATTCTTAATCATTACACAAAATATCATCTTTACTTTTACATGGAATTCTAGAAATAGACTTGCTTAATAAAGGCGCAGATCGAGATAGACCAGCCATTTTGGCTGGAAATTGCTGAAATAGTTTCTGAGTTTATCATAGATAACTGTACAAATTTGTACCATTAAGTGTGTTCTCTCTTGTTAAAATCTTGGAATGGTACCTGAGGGCCGTGAAATTGTGAACAAATATTGAATGCAGTGTCTGGACTGCTTCCCTAAAGTGGTCATAGACATTATTCTGGCATGAGTGTTAATACATTATTTGTGAGAGATGAAATTTCTGCTACCCAATAACCTAGGGCCCAAAGTGACACTTTGCCATTAAGATATTCCTAGCTTTCTCATGCGTTTCAAAATCAGAAACTTGAACCTGCTGCACAAAGCATGGTCTTTTTCACTATACTCTCCATTTGTATAAAAGCTGAACACTGTAATGTGGTGAAGAAAGCAGTCTTCTCGGATTGGGCACCGTGTATATGTGGTGTTAACCTTTCTCGAGTCGTCGAATGTGTCGTTGAGTAGCCTCCGCATAGAGGAACACTATGTAAGATTTGAGGCTTTCACGGCGGTGACTATGAAGCAGTCTTCATAGTCACCGCCATGAAAGCCTCAAATCTTACACTGTAGTGTGGTAATTAATACTCTGATGCATATTTGAGGTGTCTCCAATTTTAATCTCAGCCTAGAGACCAATTATCTTGATAGGTCTCCAAGGTTTCCTTAATTTATTCCACATAAATCCTCGAATTGTGTGTTAATGTATGCCAAAAATATTTCTCAAATACTTGTATGCCCCATTATATATAATCACTAGTTATTTAATAAATATTCTGTATGTTCTAGTAGTGACATAGCATTGTTAAGTAAATGAAAGTTACACATTCATATTGGCATTGATAACTTACGGAATGTCACTGCTTGAATAATATTTTTTATCATCCCTTTGTGTTATTCATGTGGTTAACTTATTAAGGTATTAGGGAGTAGGTTCCATATAATTTATTTTCTGTAATTGTTCTCATTTTTCTTAAGATTTATTAAAGTCAGCTAAATGTGTAGAATATGAAATTCTTATGGCAAATAAATTCTTTTGACATGTCAGGTGATCAGCTGCCTTGTTTAGAATTGTCTGCATTGTTAAGGTCAGTCAGGGATACAGAGCACCAACATGGTAATGTTGATGTAGCTGATAATCTGACAAGATCAGTACAAATGTTATGTTGTCTTTCACTATTACTTGTATAACGTATTTTGTATGGTTGTTCAATTTGTAGATGAATTGAGAGAGGAAGAAGGATAGCAAGCCTGAAGAGAACTTCAAGGATTTTTAAGGATGTGATCTCCTCCCTTAGGTTTAATTTGGTGAGGGAATAACAGACTTAAATGCTGAAGTAACAGAATGGACTAAGAGAGATAATGCAGTTTAAAGCAGTGTTTTTCAAAAAAATTTGTCATTAATTTTAATAAAGGAAATTGTTAAGCAAGAACATTATGGCAGATAATTAAAGAACCAGTTTTCTGATGTATGTGTTAACTGGATTTCTCTGTGCAGATATTATTTCACCTTTATCTTGTAATAAATAATAGACTTCATTTTCTAATTATAAATGAAGAGGGCAAATTACCACCATGGTTAAATCTTATATCGATATTGGCATTTAAGGCCAGTGATGATTGCTGAAGCCCAAGTGCCAGATAGATATGATTGGCAGTGGTAGAAATGCTTGTTAAGCTTCGTTATTATGTATTGAATTATACTTCTCTCGCATGAATCCTTGACATAGATCACTGTGTGCATATCTGATGAAGATGTTTATATTAGTACATAAAGCTCAGAGAGAAGTTGATGTATGTATGTAAAGCTAATTTGTAGTGCATATTGTGCTGAAAGGAAAACACCTGTAAACATTTTATATTACTAAAATTGATGTGCTGTCAAATTCTGTATCATATATCCCTTTGATATCTTACACTACATGTCCATTAATATTGCTGAATTTATGTCACTGCTAGTATATTGTTGACATACTTAATGAATATCTCATTTGTAATGGGAAGTAAGGTGAACTTTGCGGCATGTCATTTGATTGTGGCTTCACTAATGTTGCCAAAGATACATACAAATTGTGATATTACTGGCAGTAACCAATGTTATGATTTATGTACAAGTAATAGGGTATAAATTGCTATATTATGACCAAAACAGCTGTTAGAATAAGAACCTGTAACCAGTCCAACAGATCATATAAACAAGAAGTTACCTAGTCAGTGATTAGTATTTTGGCACTCCATTAATGTTTCTGTTAGTTGGGTATGCATGAACAGAAGAACTGAAAGTAAAGAATAACTCTTTTTCAAACCCCNCCCCCCCCCCCCAGTAGATGCACACATACCCCTTAAAGGGGTTTTGGTACTCATAACTCATGTGTTAGGGTACACCGCTATTAATTGAAACTTAATGATCAGAATAAACGTTCTGGTTTTCACAGTCATCGATTAGTATGGTATTGCATGAACAGATATGAAATATATTTAAACTCTGCTGTTGCCCGAGTAATTGGTATGAGACCCCAAAATATTATGCACCACAACAGTAGGATGTATGGAGCATGTTGAAGCAAATGTTTTCCATCTGTTGACCCTTTGGAGGAAAGAGGTGTAGATGAAATTTGTGGCCCATACATACTTCTCTTTCTTATCAGTAGAAGTATTGTGAAGTAATTGATTGCACATAATATAAAACATATTTTTCCTAGTGTAGTGATATGATATGTTTGGTTTCTTAAAACACTTAACAGCACATACTGTTTTCATTTATAATCTTACGGTGCATGTTTTGGCTTCAATGGGCCATCTTCTTACATATAATTTTATACCTGAATATGGCTGCCCAGTGTAAGTGTACATTGTTATGTATTATAAATGTGTTCTTGTGCAGGTATGTGAAAGTTAACAAATACATTAGAGCAGAGTGAAGGGTTTGGTGTTGGGCAGTAGGGAAAGTGTAGAGCATTTTGAATTGAAGATCTGATTACAGTAAGTAGACATAATGATCAAAAGTAAAGGTTACAGGTAAATGAGAAACACGTTTTATACTAATTTAAAGTGATACTGCACCTTAAACCTTGCTACAAGTTGTCAGACTCAAAGTAAATTTACATACTTTCCTGCATTTTCAATGTTCTGGCTCAGAAATAAGATATTAACGTAATAGCAATATGTTTGAAGTTGGAAACTGGATTCTGTTCTGGGCAGTTTAGTTTAATAACAAAAATTTTACAGCAAAGAAGAAACAAGAATAATTATGACTATATATGTTACTTTGCATAGACTGAAAGAAAAAACTTGAAGTTACCGCTGAAGGACCTAATGTAATTCCCAGGAATTGAATAAAGATTCAGATGCCAGATCATATTATTCTATATGAAAGTCACTTTTCAGTTAATATGTAAATTATTAATCAGGCTATGGTTCACCAATCTGAGCATTCTGATTCACATTCTGATGTAAACTTGTGAATGATCATTTCCACCCTTATCAGTTTTCATAATGAATGATAGTGGATTTTTCAGATTCCGATGTCTGTTTTTTAAAATCATATTCTCTTTTGTCTTTGCACTTGATTTTGGCAAATTCATGATTGCAGGACAAAATCAATACCTACATTAAGGGAAATAATGATGCATTGAAAGAAACCTGCTGATGCAATAATTGTGGGGAAGAACTGAGCCAAGAGCATATTTTTAAGTTGACACTGAATGGATTTCAGTATCCTTTGAGGTGTGGTTCCCAGCTTAACACATCAAAAATATAGTAATTTGTTTGAACCTTTATTTGCTGCATTTTTCTCTTTGCTTTGAGTCATGTCCAATCTTGAATGTATGGAAACATAATTAAAACCTAGACTTGCCTCAATTGAAACAGTTTATCTGCTTTTATCACAGGGAGTGGGAAGTTCTGTTGATAGTGAAAGCACAAAACAAAACCAGTTGATAGTGTTGTTTTACATATGTTAGATTTTTCTAATTATCTGAAATGTTGATGCTTTAATAAGATGCAGGTGTTCCTGCAAATGTAAATCGGTTTATATGTAGAAAAGTATTGTGAACTAACATCTGAAATTTATACATGTTATTAAATCTGACAGACATCTTGTGTATTCTTGTCTTTCATGCCGTTAAAAGCATTCAAGATTCTGATTTTCAGTTTACTGGAAAAATCGAAGGTGCTTTTACTTTAATGAGACCAGTCTTGTGAGAAAATGAAACAGTGTAGGAAGAGGGGAATGTGTAACAACTTCTGATATAAGCATGCCTGCAAGAACAGTAGCTCAAAACTCTTCTTTTTGTGCCATTTCTTTATTCTATGTCCTTTTTTAGGCTTTACAGCAGAAGCATGAGCAGAACTTAGTACCTGAATAAGATTTATAATGGGTTTATAAATATTGTTACGGTTCAGGGGGCGACTATAGATGGGGTATGGGTTGCTGAATGGATTTATTGACCAATTACACAACTGAGAACTACAGGCACTTACAGTGCTATCACTGATATCTACACTTTACAAATCAGTGCACTCTAAGGTAGGCTGCACACCGGTATGCCTCAAGACATTATGTCTGCGACATGACGCAAAGAAAGGAGCACAGTTGAAATGAATGAGATTATGAAAACTGCTGCACACCGGTTTGAGTCTCGGTGTTGATGTCAGCTACATGCTAAGGAATTGCGAATAAAGTAAGACTGCGTCTGTTGCCTCATGTCTTGATGCTTGTCTTGACGCAGTTGGTGTGCCACCACCCCAAGTCTTGTCCAGTCTGGAGTGCCTTCACTAGTCATTGCTTGGTAACAGCTCTCAGCAGTGGAGATTCTTCAGCTTCTGTGCTCACATCTTACTGTCCATTGAATATCCCACATCTGAACTGTCAGCTCAATTAACTGGGTCACCCCAGTTGACTTCATGATAACTCTTCGGCATGGACCACATAGAAAACAACCCTGTTTCATTGTTGTAGTTCAGCTGTTGCAACTGCCAAGCAATGGGACTGTGTTCACTGCTCCCATCTTGCAGTCATTTCATAACCTCGGCTGTCCATGCTACAATATTTTCTGTAGTACACTTCCACATTGATAAAGCCTTCAGTTTAGTAAGAAATATAAGATAATAAAACAGTTTACTTTCACATAAAAACTGGATCAGTATTAGATCATGTATTTACTTCCTTTCAAGGAGGATGAGGTGGGCAGGACATGTAGCACGAATGGGGAGACTAGGAATGCATATAGGATATTTGTGGGGAAGCCAGAAGGAAAGAGACCACTGGGAAGACCAAGGCGTAGGTGGGTGGACAATATTAAAATGGATCTTAGAGAGATAGGATGCGATGGTATTAATTTGATTGATCTGGCTCAGGATAGAGACCAGTATAGGGATCTTGTGAACGTGGTAATGAACCTTCGGGTTCCATAAAATGCTGGGAACTTCTTTAGTAGCTGCAGAATTGGCAGCTCCTCCAGAAGGGCTCAGCTCCATGAGTGAGTAAGTAAGTAAGTAAGTTTACTTCCTTTCTGCCGTCTTGCTCAACACACAAAAATTGTTGTGGTTATTATCCATTTCTTGTACTTGGAAGTGTGATACTTTAACTCCCTCTTACTTCAAAAATAAGTTATTAGTGCATAAGGGTATCACTGGAGCTGGTGTGTACTGCTATGGCACGAGGCAAAAACTTAATTTCAGCCTTGGCCAATACACGACAGTATTCCAGGAAAAAGTATATGCCATTAAGGCATGTATTATGGAGAATTTAGATAGGAACTACAGAAATAGGAACATCTGCATTCTGTCTGACAGCCAGGCTGCACTTAAAGCTCTTGACAAACACCAGATCAACTCAGAATTGGTCTGGGATTGGCACCAAACCCCTAATGGAACTGGCCAAACAACAGGGTACAACTGCTATGGGTGCCGGAGCATGAAGGTGTTGCTGGAAACTAAAGAGCAGATCAATTGGCTAAGATTGGAGCTGAACATCCATTCGTAGGACATGAACCAGCTGTGGAATCTCTATAGGAGTTGCCAGAAAGGCAATGAATAAAAAAAAATAGTGGTGATCCTTGACTGGACTCAGGCAAGCAAAAGGACTCATAAGAGGACCCTCTGCTAAAAGAAGGAACTGTTGAAGTTAAACAGGAACCAGCTACAATGGGTGATGGGACTACCTACAGGACATTGTCACCTTAAAGGACACCTCTTCAAACTGGGACTAAGTGATAGTCCCACTTGTGAGAGGTGTCAAGAAGAAAATGAAACAGCCACACATATCCTGTGTGAATGTGAGGCCTTAGCTTATTTAAGATTATGTCACTTGGGTCAATACTTTATGGAACCAATTGACTATTTTGACACCCCTACATGCAAAATCCTGCGCTTTATTCGAAGCGCAAAATAGCTGGTGGGATAATCAAAGGGGAAGTACAATAGACCACTGTAGGTTACGGTGCAAGGGCCGAGAGGGCCCACCCCTTGTTCATTCATTCCAAGGCGACCATTGGTTCACCTGATTCCTTTATTGAATCACTGGCTTTGGCTGTCTCTTTTTTCAAATCCTTGGAAGAAAGAAATAGTAATGACTTTGCCTAAACCAGGTAAAGACCCGAAAGTCCCCCAAAATTTACGTCCGATTAGCCTCCTGTCCACAACAGCAAACTGTTCGTCAAAGTCATTCTAAAAATATTCCAGAAGAAAGAGTCGTATTAACAAGCCATCCCCCCCCCCATACACATCACAGCACGACACTGCAATGTTTGAGACTGACGGACCAGTGACCCTTAATTGTAACAATAAAATATCTATGGGCAAAGTGTTCTTGAACATCGAAAAAGCCTTTGATAACACACGGCACTCTGGCTTGCTGTATAAATTATCTAAATTAGAATTCTGGGACAGTTTTGTCAAGCTCATTGGCTCCTTTCCATCATCTTCAGAGTTTCGGTGGAAGGCGTAATATCCCCGTCAAGAGAAATGCAGGCTGGGGTATCACAGGGTTGTGTCTTATCCCCAACTTTAACCCCTATATAAATGATGTCACCAAACACATGGTGTTCATCTAGCCACTTTTTCGACGACACCTCTGTACATGCCACCAATCCCAAGAAGGCTTTTATTGTCAGAAAACTTCAGCGCGGTCTCAGCTCAATGGAGACCGAGTGTGAGCGCTGGAATATAAAAATTAATGAAGATAAGACACGGGGTTTACTTCTCCCACGGTCGTCGACCGCTTGAATCTTGCGCTAAATGGACGATATATTGCAGACCGTCTTGTAGCAGCTTCAGAAAATCTGCTGATAGATGGCAGTAGGATATGAGTATGATGTTTCGCATCAATGTTAGAGGCTGCTCATAAATGATTTGAGGTTTCGTTGCTGTTGGCCAGAGGGCAATTTCGTTCTTGGGATGGTGACTCCTGTTATCTCGTTTGTGGTCCTACCCGTTGTTATCGTTGTTTCTTCCGGTGCGACAGAAATCCGAATGGTTTTAATTAATTTGTGGTTTGTGTAGGTTAGTGATGGCATTAAGTGGATTTGTGGAGTTTTTCCAGAAAGGAAAGGTTAGTAGATACAAGTATTTTAGTTGTTAAAACAGAAACCACATATTTACAAACTGTTGTTCAGTATTACATCACTGAAGTAGAATTGTAATTTGACAAGACCAAGCTTTGCAGATCAATTTGGAAAGCAGTTCGTGTTCTCTTCGTACGGAAGTCATATATCAAAGGTTCAGGAGATACAGATTCGTTTCGTACTGTTGTTGTTTTATAATTGAACGCTGCTCTTTCAGATATTAATTTCATTTCAGTTAACTTGCGGTTTTCATAGGTTGTAAAGATTTGTTGACATGCAGTAATCACAACAATGTAGTGACTGAAATTCACATCGGCAAACCACGTATTTCTTTCCAAATTAGGCATTGATGTGCGGTGGTCGAAGGAAAATGACAAGCTTGCAGTTTGCAGTAATATAACATGCTTTATCCACACCATATGTACCGGTATACAAATATTACTGCACTGGCCCTAGAAATACTGGTTGTCTGTGACTGTATGTGTGACAGTAAATTCCATAAATGAACATGTCAGCTATGTAGTCATTATAATGTTTTATGTATCAGTATATGTTGTGATGTTAAGATATTCCATGTTGTTTTTGAGTATGTAGGGAGATACAAAAATGTGTGAGATGTTTTCATAAATGGTGGATTTACTATATGTTAACTACATCGTCATATAAAAAAGCATCCAGGAAAAACAAAGAAAAAATAAATTACTCTCAAAATTTAAATTACCAGTAGCGCTGTAGTAAATGTAATCAAGGAAGGTTGTAACCAAAGTGCTAATAAATCCAATATTCCAAACTAGAACCCGTCATTTCGTCACACATACCATCCTACTAATGACAATATTAAAACAGATCATGAGGAAATAGGTTGGAGAGATGTGGGCTGGATGTAGCTGTCTCAGGATGGGGATAAGTGGCAGGCTATTGTGAACAAGGTAATGAACCATCAGGTTCCATAAATCTTGGGAAATTTCTTGAGTAGCTGAATGTCTGTTAGCTTCTTGGAACTTTGTTCTGTGGCGTTTGTTAGGTTTGCAATCAGTAGTCACCGGTGTTTCCTCTGCTGCCTCGTCACTCATGGGAGTTTGTTTCCAATCTTTCTAATGGAGATGGTCAGATATCAGTCAGGTCAGTATTCAGTATGGTAAAGTAAATAAAGTAAAGGTATCCCTGTAACAGGCCATGGAGGCCCATAGGGTTATGAGATGTTGAGGTTCCCACATTTTCTAGACAGTCAGCTCATAGATGGTGCAAGGTTGTCAGCCCTATGTGCCGGCTGCCTTTTACCCCCAAGAATATTCCTGGTACATATTTCTTTTAGAGCCTGAGTCAACACCAGGGCCATAGTGCTGCTGGAAGGATTATGTCAATTGAAAGAAATCCAGTGACCTCATTGAGACTTGAACCCGTGACCTTCTGGCTTGTAGAATTGTGCCTCAACCAACTACCCTATCATATGCCCCATTCAGTATGGTAGTAATCAGTTTTAAGTAGCCAGTATGTCTTCATACAAATGTTATGTTTTTGGACATTATCCATCGTTTTGTTTTTATTTGAAACACAACAGTTCAACAACTTGGGCCTAATAGATTGAGCTAGTCTCTATCTCTGGACACCACCAACACACGCAAGGTTATACAAACCAAGCACAGCACAAACAGTCTGTGAGAGTTAAGGCAAAACTTTAAAAAATAAAAAAAATAAAAAACTCCACATTTGTGAGGCCTAGCACCAGAGTACTATCAGAGTAGAAGTCATCACTGGAGAGAGAAATTCTGTGTATGGTACCAACATAAGAAACACACATTTTTCCTGTGGCACTAGAGCCCAAATTTGGGCCTAGGCCTACCTCCATGAAACTCTCCGTTTCACTTCGGTTTACTAGATCTTACACATACGGTAGGACTCCTTGGGCAAGTGATCAGCCCGTTGCAAGGCCTCTACCTGTAGACAAACACAGAAAAACGCACACAAACATCCATGCCCTGAGTGGGATTCGAACCCACGATCCTGGCTTCCGAGCGAGCGAAGACAGTGCATGCCTTAGACCGCTCGGCTACCAAAAAACACACATACTCTCACATATTCTACACTGGATGGAGTGACATTAAGGGAAGAACATATATGGAGGGTATTTGAGAACAGGGCCATGAGGAGAATATTTGATTCCAAGAAGGATGGAATAATTGGCTTGAGAAAGTTGAATAATGCACTACATAACTTGTATCCTTGCCAGAAGTAATTAAAATGATCAGGTGAAGAAGGATGAGATAGTCGGTCCATTAGAACACACTGAACAGAAGAGGAATGTATGCAGGGTTTTGCAAGGAAAGCCAGATGGAAAGAGGCCACTGGGACAACCTATACAAAGGTTTTAGGATGGTATAAAAATTGCCCCACCAATGGTGTCTCCACCTTATAGTGGTGGTGGGGTTTGAGAGCTGCTGAGAGCTATGCCGGCGCTAGCATAGCAACTGGTAGGGCCACCCATGCTGGACAGGTCAAGGAGTAGGAGCAGACAGAGAGGGATACCCTCAATAAATGCTCATATAAATTTTAGGTTGTATGTAGTTTCACTTATATCAGTGATGAAATAAAAAAACATGTACTTGCAGCAAATAAATGTCTCCATGGCCTTAGGAAACACCTGAAATCCCAATTAATGCCCAGGAAAACCAAAACTATGATGTATAAAGTACTTATAAGATCAGTGCTATCTTATGCCTCTGAGACCTGGCCACTGTCAAGATCAGATGAAAGACTGTTAAGTATATTTGAAAGGAGGATCCTGAGATATATCTTTGGACCAGTGGAAGAAAATGGAATATGGAGGAAGAGGTATAACCATGAGCTATACAAACTATTTAATGAACCAGACATTATTTGATTTATAAAGGTGAAAAGGCTTGAATGGGCTGGACACATAATACGTGCCAGCGAGAATAGAACCATCAAGAAAATGCTTAATACTAAACCAGAAGGAAATAGGAGATTGGGAAGACCAAGGTTAAGATGGGAAGAATGTGTGTGGCAGGACATAAGAATTTTGGGTGTAAAGAACTGGAGGAATGTAGCATCGAATAGAGAAGAATGGTGAGAAATCCTGAGGAAGGCCAGGGCTCACAAAGGGCTGTCATGCCGATGATGATGATGATGATGATGATGGTGGTTAGCAAGGTCGAGTGCTTGCACTGTTTAGCCGAATATAAGATGATATCTTCAACGAACTTATCTTCATGGAAGAGGACTCCCCAATATTAAACCTGAGTCAGATTTCTTTCCCATATTCACCCATGTAGGTCTGAAAAGTGTACACAGTGAAAGTACCTCCATGTGCTCGTGTTGCTTTTACTAATGACGCCCATACCTTTTTGCCCCTTTTAAATGTTCATATATTGAGTGATTTTCATCTTATATTCAGACAACTATGACATTTGGAGCTTGAAGTACAAAAGTAATTGCAGAAGTACGCAGTGGGAAAAATGTATTCTGTTGGGAATCTTTGGCGTCTCTGCTGAATTTATAAAATGGGAACATTAAGCCTCATGCTCCTTGCTCGTTTCTTCGGAGTAATGCAGCCTTTTGAACGCAGTGGTAGTGAAGTGATTTCAGTCTCCTCGCTTAAGTCCAGTTTTCTTGGTAAACTGTTTATTTTTATTATTTTTCTTTGCACAAACTTCATAAAATAAACGAAGAGTTGGTAGAAATTATCTGAATATTTATATGTGTGTGTGTGTGTTTTTTATTTCTCACCCCTTAGCACTACAGCCCCAGTGGGCCTTGGCCTACCTCCATGAATTTCTCTGATATGTGAAATTACTGAACGAATTTCAGTTAAGTTTGGTATTGCAGTAATAACAAAAATTGCCCGGCAAATGTAGTTCTGATATTTGTTGATTCAACTGCCATCTACTTTACATTTGCCACTCATTATCTTTAATATAAATTTTCATGAAAAATATTCTAATGTGGAAGTATACATGACATTAGCGGCCTCCATAGTCTAGGGGTAACGTTCCCACCTCATGACTCAAGGTGCGCGGGTTCAAACCCAGCGGAGGTCGTGGAATTTTTAAGGGCGGAAAAATTCAGGGAACAAGTCCTCTGGGACGGTCTTTAAGCCATGGGTCCCGTGTCATAGAGTTACGGCACGTAAAAGATCCTCATGTCTCTAGGAGACCTCTGAGGAAAATTAGGCAACACATTTCCCACCCAANCGGTAGGGTATGGCGATAGTAGAAATTAAAGAGGGACGCACAATGGGCCAATAACTGGTCTAAGTGCATGGGGAAACCCACCCCCTCTAATAATTCAATTCAATTCTTTATTATTAATGTGCCGAGTCAACAGCCGCAAGGCCAATTACAGACACAGCACAGTGCAGAAGAATGAATGACATTATACACAATCTTATTAAAAGTCGAATACAAATTACAGGTTAATAATAATAATAATAATACATGACATTCAAAGGAAATGGAAATGAGCAATAGCTTGACCATGAGGTCAGGGGGCTGAGGTATAATTGCTGCATGCATCGCTGTTTCTCTCTACTTAAATAGGATGCCACTGATAGTTACTGTAAAAGACGACACACTGAATTTTATGCGAACTATGAAAGTGGCCCTATTCTGCCTGTAAGCTGTCCTGGTAGGGCGTAAACAAGTCTTATGACAAATATTACAAATATTATGTTTCTAGACATCCATCGTCCTGCCTTTATTAGTTTTTAAAACAACGTTTTGGAAACTGGATTCTGTATCTGTCTTCAGATAAAACATACTGATTTGGACTCAATCAATAGAGCTAGTGTCCCTATCCCTGGACACCTGTGCCAGCACCAAGATGGAGTTGCAAGCCAGACACAGCACAAACCATCTGCGAGAGCTGAGAAAACATTAAATTATTATAAACTCTACACGTATGAAGTCTTTGTGCTAGAGAACTCTCGTGATAGAAATCATCACTGGAGAGAAGAAATACTCCTTATGGTACCAACATAAGAAAAACAAATTTTCCCATTCACTCAGCACTTGACAGAAATGTTTTTTGGACTTCTGCTATGATAAAGGAAGTCCAAGTTGGAGATACATCAAAGCTGGGTTTCTGATCAGATGGTCTGTCAGAGATGTATGGACAAATTCCTTGTATTTCCTGTATGTGGTGTTTGGTTCAAGCTGAAAAACCATCCCTTCTTTCCAACATATTTTGTGGGCTTCCTCATATGCATGTTGAACTAATTTTGATTTTTCAAGCAGACCTTGTGGCAGGTTATATTTGTACTCCTCAGTGTGTACTTCTAAAGGTCTGCTTTTTTCCGCCAATGTAACATCTAGTACAGTCACATGGAATTGTCTGCTGGACAACTCTGACCAGTCCAGTTTTCATCAGTGTTCCACAGAGAGTGTATGTTTAGTTTTGAAAATGGTCCTGACATTGAAATGGTTTCCAGTGCATCTGAATTTCTCAAAGATACCCTTAACATATGGGATAATGACAGTGCCCTGGTATATTGTATCTGAAAATGGTTGCTTCTCATTACAGAGTCAAAGAATTCTTGTGGATATTCATTAAGCTTCAAATCATGTCTTAAATTCTTAATTTCATTGTTAAAATCCTTCTGAGTATGTGTTCAGATTAATCTTGTATCCCATTGTCTCTCCAATGAAAGTCTTATAAATACTTTATTCTGTATGTTTGGGGCCCATTGCAGTGTATGCACATATCAGAATTTCCATGCTTTCTCTTTCCACCTTGTACTTCCATAAAAAGAAATTGATAAGATACTGTCAAATGGAATATATTTGGTGCAATTATGTTCTGTTTTATTGCAGACATTTCGTCCCAAGAAGCGATTTGAACCTGGAACGTTGAGGTATTCTTTACACAAGCAGGCACAGGCATCGCTCAGTTCAGGCATCAACCTCCGTTCTGTGGTGCAGTTGCCTCAAGGGGAAGACCCCAATGACTGGATTGCAGTTCATGGTAAGCTGACAGCGCTAAAGAGTGAAGACAGATAGGTTTCTTGTCTGACTTCTGAAAAGAAAATTTCCATTTCAACAGAAACGCATGCTAGCGAGTCATTGCCAACAGGAGGACTTCTGCTTCTGTTGCAATTCCATATCCATGGAAACCTTTGTTGAATCTTCATTGGCACGAGAACATGCTTACGGAGCCGTTGGCTAGCAATGGTCATATTTGTCATATTATATGAGTATATACTGATATTCCTTGCAATAAAAAGTCACACAGTCAGTTTTCCCTTCTCCCCTCACTTTAGTCGTCGCAAACCCACACAATAATATACTTACTGTCTCTCTTAATTGGCCAACAAGCAGTTTGCATTAAAATGTGCACTTATATGGTCTAAGTTAGTTGATTGCATTAAAACAAACTGCATTTTTTAGACATGTATATAATGAGGAATAAGTACCTCTATATGTTTCAGGGTGTATATGCATGTGTGTGAGAGAGAGGTACGGAGTGAGAGAAACAGAGACATTGATAATGTCATAATCTGCAATTCCTGAATTGATTTATGTGTTGGCAGCATACATTTCTTTTCCTTGAACACCTGTGCATTTTAAGAGCATTGTAATTTATTAAATCAAGTTGGAATCACTTCCTTCCCTATAATTTGCAACATGACAGTCATAACCATATCTCTGATTTAGTGTACCGCATACCCTATGCACATTGTCAAATGAACTAAGTAAACATTGATCTTATTTTGCTTATTCCTGCAGTTGTAGACTTCTTCAATCGTATCAACCTCATTTATGGGACCGTGTCAGAATACTGCACAACCACATCTTGTCCTACAATGTCAGGTGGACCAAAATTCGAGTATCTGTGGGCTGATGGTGGGAAGTATAAGAAACCAACGCCATTGCCAGCTCCCCAATATGTTGCTCTGCTTATGGACTGGGTCGAAGCTCAAATAAATAATGAGACGCTGTTTCCAGTATCCACAGGTAACATCCTCAGTTAGATAATGTAACACCTTTCTCAGAATAGTTTTATTTCCTTTGTTCTTCATCTTTCTTTTATTTATTTTCTGCAAAATATTGATGTATGTTGTTTTTTTTATATGATACAGTGGTAACATTACAGAAGAAAGTGGGTGTTAATGGTGATATTACTGTTCTTAATATTTATAAATAATTCAGTTCATATTTCCCTGCCGCACAAGTGCATTAGTTCTTTAACTCCTGAAGTGCAAAACTAGTTAAGCCAGGGCAGTCCCTCAGTCCTTTTAAGTGCTGGGATGCTGAAAACAATTGTGTCAGACAAGTGGCATAGTTTCTACAGGGTGATGCATGAATAATTGACACAACAAAATTATTTATTATTCATGTGATAACAAAGTTTATAGATCTTAGTTTTTAAGAACTTGGGAAAAGTCCTCCTTCTCACCCCCCCTTATATCACTTCTTCAGTATGACCTCAATTTTGTCTAACAACTTTTTAAAGTCAATCACACATATTTGTAATGACCCAGCAACATATCTTCATTAATTTCATTGCACGACTGGATAATCATCACTCTTAATTCCGTAACATTACAAGGTTTCATCGGGAACATCTTTTCCTTCAGGAACCTCCACAATTATTATCATTCTTATTATTACTTTATTCTTAGTGGGGTGAGACTGAGTCCGCTTGGTATGTGGCCACTGCTGGCCTATTGCACCAGCCCCAGATGATAAGATGATGGTGATTGTGGAGCAGTTGGTGGAATGAAGATTGACAAGGGAAACCAAAGTACTTGGAGAAAACCTGCCTCAGCACCACTTTGTCCACCACAATTCTCACATGACCATACCTGGACTCGAACCTGGGCCTCCACAGTGGGAAGCCAGTGACTAACTGCCTGAGCTATGGTGCAGCCCAACCCTCACAAAAAGGAGTCACAGGGGTTCAAGTCTGAGCTAAGTGATGGTCAAAAGTTTCTCTAATTGTGACCCTTTGTATAATAACTGTGACATGTGTGACGGCCAAAAATGGTGTTCAGAAAAATCCAACATGATATTAGCATTGTGTGTCAGTTGGCGCTGTCCTGCATAAACATGTGAGTTCCAGTAGGCAGTTGAGCTGTCATAAGTTGGTACAAAGTCAGTGTGCAGCATATGCATATGTCACTGATAATTTACAGTTTCATGGAGGAAGATTGGTAACTGGAAGTGGCTACCCGAATGCTCACTATCCTTCGGTGGCATCTTCTCTCACAAAAGTTGTGTGGATGTTCTTTTGCCCCAAAACATGCATTCTGTTTATTAACAGTCTCATCCAAATGAAAATGGGCCTCAGCAGAAGACTGTTTTGGAATGTTTCAGTTTTGTCTTCTGCACATGCTGCAGATTGAAGCCTTCTTTCCTTCTCTTGTTCTTGAAGTTTGTGCACTACAGGAATTTTGTAAAGAATGGTTCCAGATCACTGTGGACAGTTCTTTGAATTCAACAGCGAGATATTCCCAACTCATGTGATGCCTTTCATGTTCATTTCCCAGGCCTACACTGCATGGCTACCCAAAGTTCTTCCGCATTTTCTAGTGAACACAGCAGGTGCCTGAGGTCGTTTTTCTTCTCGCACATCACTTTCATCTTCAGACTTGCGGTATAAATGAAGAATAGGTTTTCGTGCAGGTGTCCAGCAATTGTGAGAAACAACCCAAAATCTTCTCTAGATGGCAGTAACACTCATTCTTTTGGCAAAAAAGGCAACAACTTTGTCTCTTTTCAATCATCAGATGGTTGTGATTAACCATTGCACTAAAATATCTGACACACTATAACAACAGCAGCTTTCTGTCAACCTGTAACGGAATTTCCAAGAACTAATCCAGAATGACGCAAAATTGGAATGCAACTCTATAGTATTATAACTGCAACGCAGTGTAGCAACAGGCTCATTCAGGGGGTGTGTGATGTCACTTGCGGAAACACAGAGGTCACATGACTCCTACTCTCTACTGCAGTATGATGTCATCGCGCCTGTTTGGGAGTCTTGTTTACCGGCTGGTGCTTCGAAGCAGGTTGCATAACCTCATTCCACTGTTGCGTAACTTGGCAGTTGACTGATTTTCAAGTCTCTCTTCATGGTAACTCGTTCCACATCCTGTCGCCCAACAACGGGTTGACATGTCACAATATACAACACTTATAGTGTATTTACTTTCTGACCTCGGTCTTAGCCTCTTTAAATACGTTCATTTTGTGAGCTGTTTTTCATTTCTGCATTTAACAGTGTGAAGCTATCATTAAGTGACAATGAGAATGGTCTTCTTATTTATGCCCATTCCTTTCAACTTTGACTTCATGCCATACTCCCCTGAGCTTGTCAAATGATTCTGCGGAGTGCATAGATAAGTGCATAATATGTGGTACAGGAACTGGCATTTCTGATTGAAGTTTCTTCTCTCTGTTCATATTTTTGCATTACAGTATGCCCAGTTTGTGGCCTTTCTTGTCAACATTGCAGTAATTGTGTTGATTCTAAATCTGTTGCATTGCCAGTACTCTAAACCATGAAACTAGGCTGTCCCATAGCTCAAGCGGTTAGTCTCTGGCTTCCCACTGCGGTGGCCCGGGTTCGATCCCAGGTCTGGTAAAGTGGGATTTGTGGTGGACAAAGTGGCGCTGGGGCAGGTTTTCTCCGAGTAGTTGGGTTTCCCCTGCCAATCTTCATTCCACCAATTGCTCCACAATCACCCTCACCTATCATCTGGGGCTGGTACAATAGGCCAGATGTGGCCGCAGTACAAGGGACTTAGTTCCACCCCACTAGAAATAAAAAAAACATGAAACAACTTCTTGTTTCACTTTTACACATTTTGTAATATTGATCGGTATGTATTGTTTTTTCAAATGTTGCAGATGTGCCTTTCCCAAAGTCATTCACATCATTGTGTCGGAAAATTTTAACGCGATTATTCCGAGTGTTTGTCCATGTTTACATCCATCACTTTGATCGAATTGTGGCTATTGGAGCAGTAAGTACCTAATGCCATGTGTGTATTGCCTCAGTTTGCATGTCATGGGGTTGTACACCACTGCCATCAAAGATCTAATATTACATTTCATATGCCAAACTACAGTATTTCATAATGTAAGATCATTACAAGGAAAAGAACACACTTAAGATGATATTTTGTTAAATTTTACATTCTGCATGATAATGGCACTGTGTTTGTTCTAATTACTGAAGTTTTTTTGGTCGCAGTGCAGGTGATATGGTTGGATTTCAGGCTGTCACAGCAGTGACTATGAAGAGTGCTATTTCTTGAGATACAGTGCTATGGAGTTTAGTAGAAATTCACTGGTGCTTGAGACAAACATAAGCCTCCATCATCAGGGTTGAGTAATCAAAGAAGGTGGCAAGTAAAGGAAATCATGTAACAAAACCTGTGTCAGATAAGGCCCGTAAAGGACTGTACAAGGAGCATGTGGTATCATAATTGAGGCACTGTGACCTCAGCTGGACATACCATGAGGCACTGTGTCAGGATAAATACACGTGCAGCTGCAACACATGAACTGATGGACACAGTTTCCTAAATATTGGCTACCAATCTCATATTCACATAGCCGATTCTCTGAGAAGACTTCATTACACACAGTTGTGTGAAAGCTTCAAGTGCTAATGTTACTGTCTGTCTGTTCCAGGAACCACATGTCAACACCTGTTACAAACATTTCTATTACTTCGTTCGTGAATTTGACTTAGTCAGCAGTAGGGAGCTCGAACCATTGAAGGAAATGACATCACATATATGTCGAGATTATAACGATCCTCCAGCAACATCAAGTTGACCGTTGGCATCAAGACAGCAAGCTTGAAAGCACAAAACTGTGCTCCTCTTGCATGGTAGGATTCACCATTCATTTACATTTTTGCATCTCTCTTCTGTATAGAATGTCTCAATTTTCAGTTCTGGGATGTAACACCACATAGTCCATTAAAAGTCAACCAATGTTTCCATCTTCAGGGTTGGAAATTAAGCCAAGAAAGAAATCAGCATGAAGCAGGCAGCAAGCAAGCTTTGACCCTCAATGGATTACAGAGTTTTTTTGTCCCAGAGAATAAAATTTTTCAAATCTAATATCACTTCACTGTGTTAAAATGTAGTTAAAGCAGCCCCCATAGTCTAGGGGTAACGTTCCCACCTCATGACTCAGGGTATGCGGGTTCAAACCCAGCGGAGGTCGTTGAATTTTTAAGGGCGGAAAAATTCAGGGAACAAGTCCTCCGGGAGGGACTTTAAGCCGTGGGTCCCATGTCGTAGATTTACGGCACGTAAAAGATCCTCATGTCACTAGGAGACCTCTGAGCAAAATTATTAGGTAAAAAGTTTCCCGCCCAAGTAGTTTCCAATGCTTCCGGTAGATGGGTAAGCATCGGGTACCACTGCCAGCCTCGCTCGCTGAACGGGGCTGCTAGCAAGCACCAGTACCGGCAGGGTATGGAGACTGGTAGAATATTAAAGGGGGACGTACAATAGACTTATTAGTCGCGGTGCATGGGGAAACCCACCCCCTCCAATAATAATAATAATAATAATAAAATGTAGTTAACTAGCACAGCCTGATAACACTGCCCTGTTGTTCAATGGAAATAAGGGTTTTGTATTTGAAATAAGAACTGTATGTTAACACACTATTTTAACACCTGATTTTCAATTTAACGGTAATCTTGCATGAGTATGGTTATGGGTTTCAGTTATGTGCCCAAGCATACTAGTTAAGCATGTCTTAACATGGTATAATTTTACAGAATTGCACTGCATACAACATATGAATTATTCCTTCATTGGCAGACTGTATATGTGCACAAGTATATCATTCAAAATTCAAGCCAAGCTGCAACAGTATGTGTATGGTTACAGGCAACAGTAATAGAATGAGACAAATGTGTTATATGTTGTTTTTTATTGTTTATTTACAGCAAATATCCACTTCCTTCTTGAAGACAAGCAGTCACCTGTTGTAATGCATTTCCTGCAATGTTGTGAAGTGTTGTGGGTCGATGCTGGCAACAGTGTGTGCAGTAGTGTGTTTCGTCTCATCCAAGTTCCATGGATTATTCAAATCTGTCGTTGAGAAATTGTCGCAGGAAGATGTTGTGATGTCAAGTCTGGAGATCAGGGTACCCAAAAACCATGCCCAACAATGCAGTCACCAAAGGACTCTTTCAGTAAAGCAGTTGTGTTCATAGTGTGGGAAGTCACCCCATCATTCTGAGAGCAGTATTCCCTTTCAGTTTTTCCCAACAGAGAAATGAATTGGGTCAGAAGATTCTCATAACTTTCAGCATTACTTTTCTACCCCCCAAAAAAAAGCAGAGGTGCCACAACCCTCATTAAAGACAGTGTGCACCACACCCAATCTTCAGTGAATACAGAGAAGTTTCATGCACCTCACAATCAGCCATTTGGCTGTCCATTTAAACAGTCAGTTGGATAATCACTTCATGGCGTGGGGGTAGAAACATCTCAATTGATCAACTCCTTTTCACAAAAATTGATAAAAAATGGTAGTATTGAATCCTTGCAGCTGTTGTAACTGAGGCCCTGATGAAAATCAGTATAATCATGATTTCAGCTGTTTGACTGTTTGATAAACACTTTTCAGATATAATTCAATTTGCAGTGACAGTCTTAAATATTTCCATGGTGATGGGGCTGCTGTTTCTTCAAAATAGCAGAGTATATTATCTGTCAGACCTGTTTAACATTGGCTCTGTTTTGTGTCATAAACACTTCCTGTGCCTAGAAATTTTATCACTGGTCTGAGTAATGTCTTACTTTGGTAATTTCTTGTCAGGGTACTCATATCAGATGTTCCTGAACAACAGCAAAGGATTTCAGAGTGAAGTAATGTTTGTAATGGAGCACACGTTCTTCTCTTGAATACACCATGCTCACACGTGCATAGCTTCTGCACAACTGATGGCAACAGCATGCTTTCCTCTAAGCTGACTTTGTCTCGAGTGTTATGGGGATGGTTGGGAGAGCCCATTATACAGAGGGAACAACTTCTGATTTCATTTCTGCACTGTAGTATGTGATCATTGTTTTTGGTATCCTTTTAAGTAGTACATGTGTGTGTATATATACTTATACATGATTATGCATAAAATAGTAATTGTAAACAAGGATTATCCGTTAATTGTATATGTACTGTTTATATATTTCAGAGTTTTTGTGAAGGTGTCTTGAAGGGAGAGACCTACAAGAAATCCATTTTTTTTTTTTTTTTTGCAGTCCAGATACACAGTTTTCAAATTATGGTTGTATGATGATGTCAAAAATGCATTACAGTTCTAAGGTTGACACCTAAGCAGTCATTGAGCTGTAAAGGCAATAGCATGCAATAACATACTGTAACAATAGCAATTATCAATTAATTGAACAGTAGCGCTTCCACTGTCTGTAACCAGTTGTGATCTTGAGAGCTTGTATGTGTTCACACGTGACTTCACAGCATTGTCACTGTTCACTCACTACACTCACCTATATTCTCGACTTCTTAGCATGAAACTGAAAACTGACTGACGCAATATTCACTCATCAGTACTGTGCTGCATTGAAGTTGACTGAAGTGAAAACTGATGACTCATTGCTCATTTTTCCACTCTGCACTGCATTGAACTAACTTTTGACAGATTCTTACCCACTCTTTTACTATGCAATGCTCTGATCTGAGCTCGCTTGTGAAAAGCCGACAACTACTTTTATAAGCATGTTATACATAGGGACGTTTGTGGCATATTTGCAGGCAACTTTGGTATCCATCATCACCTGAGTGGGTTAGAGCACAATTCTGACATAACGAGATGCTCACGCAGGCCAGGCAGCGCAATCTCTCCGTGCTCCCACAATACTGCTGTCAAGGTTGCTTGTCCCGATTAGCCCTAGGCACAGCACCATCCATCAATCTACGATGCTGCAGGTTCCTCTATACAACAATTTGATCAGGATGATCATGTTATAAGGGCTTTCCCAGCATAGCTGCAGCATAGATGACTTTCCTCTGGTCTAAGTGAGGTAATACAACCAGACTTCTCCTTCTGACAATCCCACAAATTTGGGTGGGTGGTCATAGTGAGCCTTCATGTTGTCGCTGGCGACTTTTACATATTGCAGAGTAATAATGGGTATTGTATAGCCATTCTGTGAAGTGTGCCACATAGTGAGTTGTGGCCTGCACCTTATCAAGGGAAGACGTAAGCAGTAGGTCCCACGGTACACGTGGTTGTCTCCTGAACCTCATGCTATGAGGCATCTAGCTCCAGGATGAACTCTGCAATCCTTGCTACAAACACCCACATCCCTAGCACTGTCAGCTGCATCAATGACTCCTTCATGACGGAGGATTTCCTCAGATGCCGTCTCCAGCATGTATGGCTGACTTGGCTTCTTGAGCAGTCCGATGACATCAGGTCTGGTGATGGTCACAGACACTCTGGTGTCAATTGTGGCAAGGCACAGCTTGTCGGATATCCAGCCCTCAGTAGTTAGGCTGCAGTTGCGCCTGTTGGTCAGCACATTGAGTGAAACAAGGGGACAAGGGTGATGACGCTGTGGCATCCATGTTTGCACTGGTTCTTACCCACTTTCCGAGTTTGGGTGGGTTCTGCTGATGTTCTCTGCTTAGATGTTTGATACGTCCATATTGCCAGGATATGTGTCGTGCAGTCCTGTAGTGCCCCATCACTGCCAACAGTGTTCCCTTGGGTGCTCTAGCCTGTACCTCCAGCTGCCTCGCTGGTGATCCGGCTTCATTGAGCAACTTTGTGCCTCCCATGAGGAGCTGTAGCTTCACTTCCCTGTCATTCACTCGATCGGTGTTTCCTCTGGATAAGGTCATCATGTAATTCAAGAAGGCCGAATGGGCCAAGTGATCAGCTGCTGCCACAAATTCTTAGACACTTGCTGCATTTAGGTTAATTTGGCTGTGGATTCAACAGGTACATGTTAAGGTTCTGTACCGTGCTGTCATATGTCTCTTCACATGATTTCTTGCCTGGTTATGTGACCAAAGATCTCATAATACCCATCTTTGAGACAAAATGTGTGTCCATTCCTGTAAGACATCATCTGCTGTGCAGTGTCTTCCTGTAGGTTTGGGTGAATCATCAAATGTCCTTTCACATGTTCACTCATTAAATTCACAGGTACGGCAAAGCTTACTATGTTCTGTTGCCCACATTCATCTCTGTATGCGTTTGATGAATTGCCATGGTGTTGCCAATTTGTTGTGCCCCACACATGTATGTAGCAGCAAGGAAAGAACTGCATTATCTAAGATGAATAAATAAAGTGTCAGCACAAATTTAAAATGAAGTAGTTTCCTTAGAAAGCTAGAAACAAGCAATAGAGCATTGTCAAAATAGTGCTGTATAAAATTAGTCTGTATCCTGAACATAATGTCCAAGAAGTGCTACCAAAAGTGCGACCGTCTCAGAAATAAGTAATGCTTACATAAAAATATTAAATTCCTGAAATGCTAACCAATTTGGGTCAGTGCCTGTACATTCAGAAAATGGTGACCTGTCAACCTAAGTATATGCTTAATCTGAGTTCACAAAAGCTTTGTCTGAGCACACGTGATATTTCATTATTTTAACTTTCAATGTCAGACTTTGGGGGCGGGGGGGCACGCAGTAGCGTAGTGGTTGAGGAGCTATGCTACAAGCCGGAAGGTCGCAGGTTCAAGTTCCAATGAGGTCATTGGATTTTTTTCAGTTGACCTAATCCTTCCAGCCGCACTAGGCCCTGGGGTTTACTCATCCTCTAACAGAAATGAGTACCAGGAATGAATTAAATAATTTTCCTGGGGAGTAAAGCACGGCCGGCGCGTAAGGCTGACAACCTTACCGCCATCTTTGAGCCGATTGTCTGGACAATGTGGGACCCTCAACGTCTCACAACCCTATGGGCCTTCACGGCCTGGTACGGGGATAGCTTTACTTAACTTTTTACTTTTATGTCAGACTTGAACTGAGCAAGTAATTTGGAACTCTAATTTCAGGTTGGATTCTTGCTTCATCTTGTTCTTGTTGGGTTTTCTTTTTGTGTGTGTGTGTGTGTGTGTGCAAGCATGAAGATATAGAATTCACTGATAGCTGAAGATCAGATAGGCAACTGTGAGTGACATCATCTGTAGGTGCATGTACATGATATTATCAGGCTTGCACATGGTGTGTTTTGCTATGATCTGGAGTTCATATTCACTAGACCACTTTCTCAATACTCCACTATGAGGTCACCTCTTAGCTGTTCCAGCTTGAATGGTTTATGAATGCTCTTTATATTAATTGGACACATTCAGTTTTAGTCGCACACTATAAACAAGAAAATGAATATTATTCAACTTGTATGAAGTGTAATGCAACCTTAGATAAAAATCGTGCAACACCAGTGAACAAATGAAGTCAGAAAATATTGACCTGCAGCAAGTTATCACAGGAAGGATGAAAATAGTTGGCAATAGAACCACTAAATACAACTAAGCTAGGTTATATCAGCACTGAAAACCAAAAGTCACATTTGTAAATTCATGTTAGAACCCTGTTAATTTCATTTGCAAAAAAAAAAAAAAAAGGCATGATAAGAAAGCAGTCCTCTATTAATGACTGTTAGCTAATTTGGCCACAGTAACAACAAGACTTCTCAGTGCTGTAATCTCAGTCTTCATCCAAATAATTGAACAATGAAATTTTTAAGATCCAAGACTTCTTGTAGATCCACCCCCTTAAAATAGGATGTGATGTGTCATAATGAAGTATTTGTGAAGTACTTTTTAAGATGTATAGTCTACAGAAATGCAAATCGATGAATGTTTGTAATATTACATTTTGACAGCAATAAAACCTCTAGTCACAGTAACATCAAAGTTTCGTGTTTGAGTGCTCTCTTATTTCCACTTCTTCAGTTTATCCTTCCGACCAAAAATAAAATTAATCCTGTGTTCCTATTTAATTAGTATCCTATCTGAAGTTACCACTCCCCAATATGTGTTTGTGGCATAGTGCTTAAGTAATTAAACACAGGGAAAACTTTGTTTTTTATGCAAAGAAAAATGTGAGGCCTCTCACAGCATTAAATCCCATAAAGCATTTCTCTCCATACTGCTAAGAGAACATTACATCTCTTTGATTTGTTTACTTTATGTAACAGTATCATATAGAATTTGTGCATTCTGCTAGAGCAGTATTTTGGATAATATTGTCATGTGTCTAGGGTTCTGTGGCTAATAATAATGGATTCTGGATTTGATGACTGGATTTATTAACACTTCTTGTACAAGTTCTATTAATCTCGCTCAGTTATAGCCCTATCGGAAATCTACAGACTTCTCAAGTGATTAAGACGCGCTCTGTTCTCATCCTTGTACTCTGTTGGACTCCCAGCTCCAGAATTCGCTTCTCTTATAACCACTTTGCACAGACCCAATGGAGAACAGCCTGTATTGTTGACGAAGCTTGGTTACCATGCCATTGCATAGTAATGGGCTTCCTAATGTCACACACTAAGTGTGAAGGTATTTACCAGGATGTTGCATAACAGTAAGCACCCCATTGTTGTGTACACTTGTGATGTGGGAATCCATTTACAAACCGTTGCCTAGCAAGGGGTATACACGTTAAAGTATGTTAAGCTATAGTTGGCTGGTGTTTATGATGATATATGAAGTGACATAACCTCTGAAAGGCTATGCATGCAGTTCTGCACACCTGTACTATGATCAAAGTGGTGCTTATTCTGCCTTACCTTTAATCCTTTGTGACAGGATTCTTCAAAGACTCCATATTAAATTATTGCTTACATCAAGTGAGTGAATTGCTGCGTGTATATATGAAGAGTAAGTGGTGCTGAAAGCGGAATTTTGAATTGCCAGTTTTGGTCATTGAAGTGATTGCCTGTTAAACTAAATTGCCAAACATGGTGATCTCATAAGCCAACGTTCTTTCCCTGTGGCGATAAAGTAAGGTAATATTTACTGGAGTTTCCACAGTTTCAAACCCCTTCCCCTGCCAAGGGAAACATTTCTAGAAATTAATGCAGAGAAAACTAAAGAACGATGATACCTTTACCTGCAAGCATATTCTTTTTTGATATTCGCAATACCAGAGAAAGAACTTTGGAAATTATGCAGATCAGACGATTTTGGAAGAAAACCTGTATGTCTAGGAAGTATGTTCTGATTCCTTTTTTGTGACTGCAGTTTTGTGCAGTGAAATGTTTGCAGGCTGTCAGATGGCTACATTTCCAGTAGGTACATATATTTTAATACAGGGGTTCTCAGACTTTGTGATCCGCAACACCGTAGTACAATTCATTCATCTGTGATCTGTCAAGACGACAGGTCCACAGTCTCTTCCAAAACAGTTCCTCCACTTGATGCGATCTAGAGCTTTCTCCTTCAAATGAGAATATCCTCTTCTGTCCCCAAGGTCATCCAGCATCTTCTTACGTCTTCTTCCTCATCTTCTGGTCACTTCTCTCCGCCCCTCTACCTTTCCTTCGATAACTTCTTTTAGAAGGCAGTTACCGCGTAAGATATGACCAATCCAATTAGCCTTCCGTTTTCTTATTTCGTGTAGGATATTCCTCTGCTCACTGACTCTAAATAACCCTTCTTCATTTCTCACATAATCGGT